ATTTAGACATTTACGATATAAATAGCAGCATAAGCTTAGAAATGTCAACCTACCTAATCTAATTTAAAAAGAGGGATATGGTGGCATACTTTTAATATAAAACTATGCTCCAAGATGGTGATGAGATGGTATATGGCAGTCTTACACTTTCTTCTCAGTCAAGGTTGTGGAAATTGTGGAAAGACAACTTTCTCCTACCACCCACTTTACTTGCCTTAACTTTTGTCTTTGCCTTTTGTTTTAGGTGTGCTTTTTGATGGAAATAAACACTCAAACTTTTGGGTCAAAATATTTATTGATAATAAAAATATTTAAAGTGTGACCCATATGGATATATATTTTTCTCCATCAAAAGATGGTTGACCATCATTAGAAGTGAAAACAATAATATTGACATATATATTAGTACCTTTACTTTTGATTAACATACGAATACCACATTTTGGAGTGCCATAACTAAGTGAACAATAGTGCCCTTATGATTCTAAAGTGTACATCATTTGAAAAGCTTTTACATATAAGTTTGTTATTCATAGCATATGATCTCATTGTAACAACAAATTTGGATCATAGGTTGTATTAAATGGATTTTTCATTTTATTATCTATTTTTTAGTGGTGCATTAGTAGGAGGATGTGCTGGAGCAATCATGTGATAAATTTGACTATATATTTTAAAGTAATATAGACATCTACCACTTAAGTTTTCAATATTAGAACCCCTGAATATAAAAACCAAAGCTCTATTAAAGTTTCTTAAAATTATTTTATAGTTTATCCTTTATTTTTTCTATATGGTGAGTTAAACTATGCCTCAAATTAGTTGGCCATGCCCGACCTACCCATTATCCTTGTTATACATTTGGAACCCCTCACAAACCCCCTCTAAGGAACATATGCTTTGGGCTTTCACCCTAATCTCAAGAGTTAATCTCTAGGATAATTATGGAAACTTACTAAATATAGAATGGTGTTAAATTGCAAATTTGGAAGTAGAAATAACAATGACAATATTTACATTCCATAGAAATGCTAAATTCACAAATTTAGACATTTTCCATGAATAGCTAATAGGACTGAATGGAACTAACATAAAGGGTATGATAGTAAAAGTGTCTTCACAAACACAATAAGTTATCAGCTAGTGAGTATTTAGGGACTAAGCTGTCGCGAATGTGACTTTGGGTATCAAAAGCTATATATCAGCTAATCCTTTTGAATATTCTTTCCTTACTACCACGACGGTAGAAGGTCAGTATTACTAGTTCCCTTTATCAGCCCCTCTTGTTCAAGTGTTAATTTACTGGGCTTAGCACTTGTACTTAGCCAGATGGACATAAAGTAGGAACTCTTATGTGTTTTTAACTGAGTATATTTGGCCTGGCTCTTAGTTATCTTTTGCTCTATCTTGCACTAGGTTGGCAAGCATCTTCACATATTGAGATTAATCCCTCAATATTGCTGAATGATAATTTACTGTGTTTGCCAAACACCCTCGCTATCATGCCCTTTGTGTTAGTCTCATTTTAGTTTTAAATACTATTTATGGATAGTGTCTAAATTTTCTTATTTGGCATATCTACAAAATGTAGAGATTGTCCTAAACACAATGGTGTTCATCCCATGTCCAAATTCGTAATCTAGGAACATTCCATATTTAGTAAGTTTTGAGCTTGTCCCAAAGACTGCTCTATGCTCGAGAGTTGCTTTGTGGTATGGTTCCATCACTCCTTAGTTCCATGCTTACGAGTTTGGCATTGTTCCTTTATTCAATGGTCTAAAGCCTTGAAATTTAGGATCCACTCCACTGTTCTTTAGACATGTGGCATATTGAAGGTTAGGTTCTACATCGTGGTTACCCTATGGTAAACCATAATAGGATAAGGGGTAAAAACCACATGTGCTACACAAGCTCAGTACTATGGGAGTTCTTAACATTAGCAAGTGTAAGTCAATAAATGAGTTTTTCTAACTAGGTTAAATATGTTTAGCTAATAACACTTAGGAATTCTATTCTTATACTTTTCTAGCTAAGTGCATATGCAAGGATTAGCTTTTCAACTATCTTATGTGGAGACTAAAAAAAGGTTTAGCAATACTAACCTCCTACAATCATGGCAGTAAGGAAAGAATATTTGAAATGACTCACTAACATATAATTTATGATATCCACAATCATATTTGCAATAGTTAAGCATCCTTTTGAGTTTGAATAGTATGCTGAATGACTTTCTAAATTAAAGAGTTTACAATAATATTCCTATAAATATTTATTTTATATGAATTTTAGGTTTTGTATTTTTTTCTAAAGCTATTTGGCAGTTTTTTAAATTTCACATGCATAGTAAATCTTAAAAAATCATACATCTTCCAATTCATTTACCTAGTTTGCAAAATATTTATTTCCTACCAAGTCAAGAATAAGAAATATTGTGAAGAGCCATATAAAATGGAACAAAGCTTACAAAATGATTCACTTGGAATATGTAAGATATTTACACAACATAGTATATATATTCTCAAATTCCATTGTATTATATATATAAAACAAATGTAGTAATTATAGTAATGTAAAAAAAAACTTATCTCAAGGATGTATTCTATATCTTCTTTTGATAATGAGTTATATTACTTATACCTCTTATTACTTAGAATAAGGTGTTTTATCCTTTAAGAATCTTCACACAATAAAAAATATTATATATCCTTTTTTAAAATAAACAATTGTTGCAATTGAAATTTTAATAGATGGTTATAAATGACAATATTGCATGAGTGAAAGCTTTACATTTAAAATGCCATCACAATTAAAATAAATATTTATTTTTAGTTATTTATATTGTTCACCAAAAGATCCTCTTGAAAAAATTTAAAGTTAAGATATTTGAGGATTTTGCTATAAACCATATTAACTACTTGGATCTTACTTTGCTTACTTAAAATATTGTTTTGATTTTGCTTAGAAATGTCATTACTTACAGGGTTTATGCAATGGTATATGTATTATTATCCCAAAATATCTTAGATTGTAAAATTTTCAATTGACAATTTAAAGGTTCTAGTTTTTATTTCACAGATCATCCTTAGATCTTCTGATGCTCAGATGCTTTTTAAAATGTTAAGAATAGAATTTATAATTCATCTTAGATATTTTTTTGACCATTTCAAAAGCTCAAGGTCAAACTTTTGATCTTACTTGTCAAAATATATTTTTACATATGGTTAGCTATATACTACTATATACTACTTTATCAAGATATATATCATCTGAACAACTTTGTGTGCAAATACTTTCTTCTCACAGTCAAGGTTATTTTATTCCAAATGAATAACACTTCTATACAACTTCTACATAATTAATATAATCTATATTGAATTTTAGAATAATTTATTAACTGTTCTAAATATATATAAAAGAACCTTAAACACATTGACTTTCGGAGAATGTGTGTTTTTGCTAACTACTTAGCAATGCTAATCTTTGACTCCTAAAGGGATGGTGCCCTTAATAAGGGGTAGATACCCCAAGTGTACCTCCAGGAATTTCGTGACTCACAGGAATCATTTTTATCAGAGTCTAGCAAGACTAACTTGGTTGAATCTCACATTTCAGAGTGACTAACTGATGAAATTCAGTTTAGGTTGGTGTTGTATTTTTATTCCTCTAGCAGCTTGATGTTATATGTAGTTCACCACAGCATTAGAAAAGCCAAAGCAACACGGATAATCCCACTTCTTCCAAACATGAAATTCGCGAGTTAGCTGCTCCGTCACTCCGCCGAATTTGACTTTCCCCGCCCTGGTCGTGCTGCAAAATCGGAGGGCTCAGCTGATAAAACCTAGGTCGTGGACACCTCATTCGTAGTACGAATGAGGAGCAGGGCAGAGGGCGATGGCGATGGCGATCGCTTAGGTATGGCCAATGTAGATCGATCAAATCCAATGAGTAGATCGGAGCTCTTGGCTGCAGGCGCAACGATCAAGAGGCCGCTGAGCGAGAACAAGCACGAAGCAGTCACACCTGTAGCGGTTTTGTCAGTGAAAGCGCGATCGGTGGCAAGCGATAGTAAATGCTATGCTAGGCGCCGCAGAATCCTTCGCGATGACAACAAGAGCGAAGAATGGATGCCTTCGACATGTCCGTCGAAGAGGTTTACGTGAGGTTTCCTCCGTCTTTTTACATGGATTTTTTTTGCTTCCAGGTCCAAGAAGCGACGGCATTCGAGCACCAGTTTGGAGGACGATTTTCAAGATCAAGACCATGATTCCACCGAGTTGAAAACTCGTCACGTAGGTGTCACTCTCCACGCTTTCTTCTCTTGGTTACTGATTCCGTCTCTATTATTTTACAGAGATCTAAGAAAAGTCGTCGAGGTAGAGCAAGGACACAGAAGGCAGCCAAGGTTCCAAAGAACTTCGTCCAGGAGCAGCAAAAGTACTTCGCGGAAGTGGATGCATTCGAGCTCCAGGAGGAGGAATCCGCGGAAGAAAGCTCCTCTCACGAGCTGGATCAAAAACTCCAATCAGAGGACGAGAGCTCCTCGGACGACGAGTTCCCACAGGAAGCAGGACCCTCCCAAGAACAACCAGAGTCAACGAAGGACACTTTCTCGGAGCCGGAGGAGGAGGAGTCGGAGTCGGAGTCGGGATCTGGATCGGAGAGATCGGACTAAACTCCATCGCATGTAAGTTTTCTCATAAGATCATCCATTTTGTCGCTATTGCAGAGTTGTAAAAAAACACGCTGATCGTGTTGTGCTTCGTTTAGATCTCCTTTCGGCGCAATGCTGCAGGTTGGTCCCGGGTTCTTTCGAGCTATGTCACAACGAAGATTCTCCATAGACGCGGCCAAAAGAGAGAAAACATATACTTCCGTGGACGTTATTGGCCGCCACGTGGACGACTCCGATTGGCGACTAACAGACACGTGTACACTAGACAAATTATTGTAGCGCGGAAGTATGGCATATATAGTTTTGTGGAGGCGCATATACAAGTGGCCACATTGGTTTGTTCCTCTGATTTGCTAGGGTTTGGGGGGCGCGGTTGATGTGAAATTTCGAAACTTTCTTTCTTGGATCGAGCACGATGATGAGCGCTGCGAAGCTGGCCGCCGCTGATCGGAGGTATGGAGTGTGAATTTCTGGGAAAATCTTGCCAAAATCGAAATGCCTGTGCTTGATTACTTCAGTATGGCGCGTGAGCTAGCGATCGCGGAGGCGCCGCCGTGCAGGAGGTGCTTCCCACCGCCGAGAAATGTCCATTCGATCATCTCTTGCAGCTTGTCGGTGCGAAGGCGCCAGAGATCAGCGGCGCTGGTCGTCTCTTCCTCTCAATTCTCTCATGAATCCAGGCACAGGAATAGGAGGAAAGACAGCCAGATTGCAGAGGTCAATGCTAGCTATGCCGATTCTCATTTGATAGACGAGGAGGAGATTCTCATGGCCGGGCGATCCATTTCCAGGAGAAGCTTTAAGATCATCACTGCCGGCATTCTCACCGTGGTTCTGGCCGTGAGTAACAAGGTCCTCTACAAGATGGCTCTAATTCCGCTTAGGGAGTACCCATTCTTCTTGGCACAAGTGAACACGTTTGGGTGCGTACGCCGCCTATCTAGATCACTCTCTTTTGCAAACTTTGTTCTCACTTTGTTACGGATGTCTCAGGTACGTGCTAGTTTATTCGTCGATACTACTCGCCCGATATCGCTCGGGAGCTGTGACAGCCAAAATGCTGGCTCTCCCAAAGTCTTGGTTTATAGTTTTGGGAGCGCTGGAAGCACTTGGCCTTGCTACAGGGATGGCGGCCGCAGGTGAGTGTTGTCACAGGAAATTGTTCACAGGTTTTTGACGTATGTGTGTATGCAGCCGTGCTTTCTGGAGCGATTATCCCTGTCTTGGCGCAGGTATTCGTTCCATTACGTGTTTATTGCTTATGCAAAGATTGGATTGCTCTTGATGCAGGCTTATTTAGTTTGGCAACTTCTACTGTCTTCCGCGTTTTTAAAGAAGAAGTACACATTCGGTCAAATTTTTGGCTGTCTTCTCGTGCTTGCTGGTGTTATTCTTGTCGTTTCAAGGTAGAGTATCACATACTCGCACTCAACAGCGATCCTAAATAGCTGGCGATCTTTCGTTTTCTTTTGCAGTGGAGCAGGAAGCGAATCGGCAGTGCAAAGTGCCGGATACTTTTGGCCTCTCGTGATGGTCGTATCATCTGGATTTTCTGCCGGTGGTTCTATCATCAAGGTGAGGAAATTCTTAGCCAACTCTAGTTTTGTTTAACGAGATTAAACCGTTTGTGCATAGGAATTTTTGTTTCGGAACGCTGCGCACCATTCAGAAGGAAGATCCGTGGATTTGTTTGTTGTGAACACTTTGGGCTCAAGCTTCCAGGTGCGCTTTACGTTTTCATTGAGGGATGTCCTCATTGAGCTCTTTTGTTTACAGGCACTGTTCGTGTTTCTGCTGCTCCCGGTGCTTTCGAACATGCGGGGAATTCCTTTCAGCCAACTTCCACAATACTTGCTTGATGGATCGGCTTGTTTCTTCAACATTGGCGGCAGTGGTAGCATTTTGTTGATCTGTTTTGTCGTTGCTTATACTGTGCCTTACAGGTTGCCATGGCGCACCTTTGATACCTTTGCTCTATGTCGCTGTCAACCTGGCTTTCAACATTTCGGCTCTCAATCTTCTGAAACTGTCGTCGGCCGTGGTTTCATCTTTGTGCACAACTCTCGCAGGTAAAACTAGTTCTTCTAGAGCTACATTCTGCTCGCTTCGCTTCTTAGACTGAAAATCGTGAAAACTCTGCAGTGCCAGCGTCGATTTGGATGTTCACGCTACCACTTCCGTTGCTGGGTCACCCGGCTTCAATCACTCCAGGCCTGTATAGAGGAGCTACAACTCTCGTGCTGGGCTTGGTTGTATATAATTTTTTTGCGGTAGACAGGAAGAATAAAGAGCAGTAACAGAAGTTGCGCTCCCTCTCAAAGTCGTTTCAATTTAGAACTTCGTTTCTAGGGCTCTTTCCCATTCCGGCTCATTCCGTGACTATGGCGAGCGGCGGCTCCACGGGAGGAGCGATGGCTCGCAAGGGCGTGGTAAAGCTCTTGAGCGCCACCAAGAGCAGCGTGTCAGCGCTCTCCAAAGGCATTTCTAAAGCTCGCAAGGACTACGCCAACAAGCACGAAGACGATGTGTTGGCGGACATCCGCCAAACAGGCGTTAGTGTTGTGGATCTCGTCTTTCAAGGTACTACTAACGATCTCTTGAGAAGTTCTATATATCAGATCTTTGTTTTGCTTCTCCAGCGCTGCGAAGGATCTACTTCCTCTACATGGCTGGATACAAGAGCGAGCTCGTTGCTGCGGCAGTGGAAGCTGGAAAGCGGCTGGTTAGTTTTAAGTTGTAGCTAGAAACTGTTTGACGCAAGCAGCACTAGACCGAAGCGGACAGTAGCAGCGTCCCTCTCGATGCGGTGATGGTCTTCGAGAACACGCTGCGTGAGGAGGCTCGGAAGTATGGAAACTTTGACAAGGAGAACTCCATCTCCATCCAGAGTTTCGTCAACCGGAGCCGGGCAAGCAAAGAGCACAGTGACAGGACTTCGGTTGCTCACGACATTTACTACGCTGTTCTAGCAACAGCACGGGTACAAACGAAGCTAGTCTGCCTTCTCACGAATCAAACATTTCATGACTGCAGGCTTATGGATCGGAGTGGGACAAAGTGGAGCAAGTTTTTAGAGATGCTAGCTCTCGCGTGATTGGAAATGCAATTCATGCCACAGACGATACCAAAGACGCGAGGTCTGGGCTTTGTTTTTCCTGTGTAACTTAACGCTTGCTTTGTGCGCGAAGGTCCAAGGCTGCAAAGGCTCTCTTCATTTTTGGGTGTGAGATCAAAGCTAAAGTCGAGGAGGCATCGTCGAGGCGGCAGAAGGTTGTCCGAGACGCCGAAAACGTTCTCCGAAAGGAGCAAGAAAGGCTGCAAAAGCTCTCCGTTTAAATTCGAAAGAAAGTGGTATATTCCTAGCCAGTGGCATATGCTTGAGCATGTTTTTTCGATTCGCGGAATCATTTTCTGGTTCGTTTTCTTCTAGGGCTTAGCTATGTTGGAATGAAGCAGCGATCGCTTGGCATCGCTGTGTTGTGGCGCAGATGGCGGGCTGGATGGGGGCGATCCACCGGCAGCTGGATTCATGGCAGCGCCTGCAATCCCAATGGCAGCAGTGGCCGCCATGGCCGCTCCAGTTCACCTGGAAATGGCCGTGGCAAGATGGGGAGCGCGAGAGGAAGCGGCTCAAGGAGGAGTGTGAGCGGCGGCGTGCCCAAGTGGAGACGCTGTGCAAGACTGTCAAGGCGGATACCCTAGCCGAGTTGCAGGAGCTGCTGGGAGCCATGGTGCTCTCGGAATGCGTCTACAAGGTGCTTTTTTTTGCTCTCCTTTTCTGAGATAGATTTTTCTTTCGTGTCCTCGTGATCTAGAAACCTGATCACGACGTGGTACGAGCAGTGAACAAGTTCAAGGCTGATTTTGGTGGGCAATTGGTGTCGCTGGATGGAGTCCAAGCTTCTTTGGATCACGTCCCTCACCGGTAAGCAAGAACAAGCTTATTCTTTATTTCTTTTCTTTTCGTACTGCTGGCTACAACTTCTCTCGCCATTATCTTACAGGTATTTATTGGCGGAAGGAAAGGACACGCTCTACGCTTCTTTCGTGGGAACCAACCATTACAAGTGAGCATGCTTCAAGTACTATACACTAGCTTTGATGTTTCTCATACAACAAATAATCTGTTGATAAGGAACTTATGTATACAGGGATGTCATTGCCGATGCAAATGTGTTGCAGGGAGCAATCTTTCATGAAGAAGATCTGGCGAGTTTGACTGGCGATGAGGAAGCGAATGAAGCGGAGCCTGTTGTTAAAGGACTTGGGGCGGACGCATCACCGTTGGTGAAGCAACAAAAGTTCAGCCCAAAGCCAGCTGCGCACAAGGTTAGCAAGTTTCGCGTTTTCCGTAGCATAGGGGAACATTCGACCTTGCAGGGATTTTTAGGCCGTGCGAAAGGGATCCCGGCTGTCGAAATCTACCGACTTGCCCAGGAGAAAGATAAAAAACTTGTTTTGTGTGGCCATTCATTAGGAGGAGCTGTAAGTTCTCTGTCTTTCTTTTTGTTACAACTAATGTGTTACGTTTCATTTAGGTCGCTGTCTTAACCACGCTTGCGATTTTGAGAGTATTTTCATCGCGAAATGGTGGAAAGCTTAATGTTAAATGCATAACTTTTTCCCAACCTCCAGTTGGGAATCGTGCACTTCGAGAGTGAGTCTCTAGCTGTAGCTTCAATTTGGTGTCTGATCTTTCTTGTGTTTCGTTTCAGCTATGTTCATCGAAGTGGATGGCAACAACATTTTCACACTTATTGCATTCCTGAAGATGTTGTCCCTCGTATACTGTCACCAGCGTATTTCCAGCATTACCATGAAGCTGGTCAAGAACAAGTTCCGGTAAGAGCTGAACCGGATTTGAAAAAGTCCGCTGGCAACGAACGTATGGCACTGGGCTTAGGACCAGTTCAAACGTCACTTTGGCGGTTGTCAAGGCTGGTTCCCCTGGTTAGCGCTCAAAATACGTTGCAGTGGCTGAAGGGCAAGAAAAAAAGCGTAGCCCTTGCTGCTGCACCACCGTCTATGGAGACGAAAGCAGGAGATGATTCACGACTTGTAGAGCCGCTTGAAATTCGAGAAGGGACAGAAGGCGTCTCTCTTGTTCCTCTTCGTCCAGACGATTCTCCTTCTACTGAAGGAAAATCTGCTGCCAGCAAGCAGCCCGATTGGCGGAAACGAGTACTTCCTCTGCCATCATACATACCGTTTGGGCAGGTAGTTTTTTGTTGTTCCTTTCTACTTCTCTTTTGGCTGAACTTTTGGAGTTTTTGCAGCTTTATTTGTTGCAGAAGCTATCTGTGGAACCCTTATCTGCTTCTGAATACACACGTCTGACTTCGGTATGTTACTCGCTTTTCCCTCTTGACAATGCCTTTAAACAGTATCGACATTTAGGTGCAATCGGTGCTATTGGAATTGCGAGATCGTTTTCAGTCACATACCATGAAGTCATACCGCACCCGGTTCCAAAAGTACGCCATTCCGATGCATGATCGTACGAGCTTACATGCAATGCTGTTACAGAATTTTCGAACATTGTCTGGGTCCAGAAGCACCATCTCCAGTCTTTATGATGGAGCACCTTCCTCACTTGCCTCACTTGCGGCAATGGCTAGGTGTTGATGGAGCTGGCATGACAGAGCTAAGAAAAATCGCAGGACCTTTAATCATCCGGACAGCTACTTCTCTTGTTCCTCTCGGTTGGCGGGGATCTCCGGGGGAGAAAGGATGTGAACCTCTAAAAGTGGATGTGCAAGGATATGGTTTACATCTTTGCACTCTTGTGCGTGCACAAGTGAATGGCCGCTGGTAATTATCTTCGTCTTCAGTTCTCTTCGGGTAATGGTTTTCTGTGCAGGTGTGCTACAAAAATTGAAAACTCACCCGTTCCACCAACACCATTTCCCGTGGTCGAGGAAACAGGATTGCAGACAATGAGAATACGCATTGGTGCACCACTTTCCGCAAAACCTGATGTAGAAGAGGTTGCCGTGGACAGTGAGGGTGTGAAGACCGTCAATATTCCTGTGGAAGGTCTAAGTCAAGTTACTATACAATGTAGCACTGACTTTGTGACGTCTTCGAAGAGCGTGTCTATGAAACTAAGACGGGTACGACTTTTGGGATTGGAGGTAAATCACGTAGTTTTCGATTCTGTTCACTTATGTTATTAATCAAGTGGCACGACAGGGTGCTGGAAAGACATCTCTATATTATGCGCTGATGGGCCAGGGTGGTGGTGTTAGCATGAACACTGATACCGACGGCTTTTTTCCAGACATGGAGTGGCGTGAAGGCGTTTCATGCGGCGTAGGATATGTAGATGCGGCAGGCGTTAACTTGCAGGTAAAAGTTTCTTCCTTGCTTGGCTTTGATTAGTTTACCGATTGGTTCCATGCAGGACCTGTCATACGAATCAGAACAGCTGAAGAATGAGTTGTCGAGAGCGGATCCGTATAAAAGCCTTGACTTGGTAGTTCTTGTGCACAATCTGGCTCACAAGATTCCCAGGCTGCGACAACAGGCTGCCGATCACTCTCGACCAGCTCTCGGCACCCTCCTGGACGAGATCACTACTGCTGATGTCCCTTTCGTTTTAGCTCTCACGAACAAGTTCGCTGTGAGTGCCGACCGGCGTCAGCTTGCAAGCGTTGCAGCCATGGATGCGTACAAGTCCACTCCCGACTTGACAGTGGTTGTCAACTCGTGCCCCTACACTGTTCACGGCCGTGGTGGAACGTCCGAGAGCCTATTGCAAAGCAACTCTGGTGGTGACAAAGTCCCAGGAACGGCGCAGAGAATAATCTCCGCTCCCATAAACCTCGTCCAGATGCCATTTCGAAGGAAGGAGGAGGTCCTTCCAGTTGAAGGCGTGAAGAACTTACGAGCTCTCGTGCATCGCGTCTTGCTGACGAGAGAAGAAGCCGCTTTCGAGGTTTGTAGCCTCATCGTTTTTGGTTTTCTAACTTCGCCGCGGCTGTGTTTACCTCTCAGGAGCTTCAAAGAGCGACGCTGGAAGAGCAAGCAAGAAGAGAAGTTCCTCAGCAAAGGATTGGCTTTGTTCATGGAAAATCTGGGAATGGCACCGCCGCAGCGCTGGGAGCTGCGCTCGGCGCTGGATTTGGAGTCGTAGTGGCGATCGTCGTGGGAGCATCCGCAGCGCTTGGCAAACCATAAAGGATTTGACGAACAAACAACAAACACTCTTTGTTGTTTGAAAGTCACCAATCGTTGATTTATAAACAAGGTTATATGATATTTCTCGCTCTATTTGGATGTGAGCTCAGAGCTTAGGGCTTGTTGGAGCCATGGAAGCGCTATCGTGTCTTCCAGCTTCATCTTCCTCTCGCGGCAGATGTGGAGGCGCTTGCTCCAGCGCCAATCCGGTAAGCGATTGAATCGATCATCGAGTGAATGCCAATAGATTGAGAATTGTGGCAACATACAGAGAATACGATCGCAGTGGCAGATGTCCCTGGGGAGGAGACCCCGGCATCAAGTAAATTTTGCTCGATCCTTGTGTCTAGATGAGGTAGAGAGCCCGCATTTTTGGATATTTTGCTCCAGTTTTGTTGTGTGTGTAGGAAATCGGTGCCGAGTATGGCGAGGGCTTTTCCGGCTATAGGCCGCGGGCACCTCTTCATGTGGATGTGGTTAGGAGCTCCCTCTTGAGTTTTTTCTTTGTGATGTTTCTTCAGCAGCTCTTTCGTGAACTTTGTGCAGGATTATTTGAATGATAGGATGCAAGAGAGAGGTCTCCAAAGGATAAAATATGCATTAAAACCAGACCAGGCATTCGGACTTATATATTCCTGGGACAATGTTTTGGTATGTATAATTTTGTTTCCAATTTTTTTTCACGTTATTTTTCTGTATTTACAGGCAGATACGAGAAGTGTTAGACTAAGAGCTTGGGAAAGACTTGCGCAGGAGGAAGGTCTCTTTTTTCATATCGATTTTTTGTTTTCACCACAACGGCTTTTTTGCAGGAAAAATTATTGGAGATGATCCAGAGAAGCGGCGATCGATTGTTTGTAATAGCGCCAAGCGTGTCCTTGAAAGGGTGGGTAAAAGGAAAAATGTCTGAAGAGGTGAGATGTAACTTTGTTTTCTCAGCTAGCTTGGGCGGAGCATGGCGATGATATATGGCGATTGATGAATCGGCTATCAGAAATATACTGTGAAGAGCTATCCAAGGTTCGCAGTTTGTCATGAAACGGAATGAGACCACCGTGCTTGTTTGCAGGTTGAGGCAATGGCTGGCCTACGAGAATGGCTGGCAGCTCTTTATTCAGCGGGAGTTCCTTGTGCTGTTGCGTCCACATTGGATCGGATTAGCTTGTTGGATGCACTCGTCAGAATGGGTCTCGACAAGTACTTCCAGGTGAGTGAGGAGACAAGACGTGCATGGTTTTAATACAATCGTTGTTGAGTCCAGGCAGTTGTCACAGAAGAGGATGGAATGGACTCCATCGCGCACAAGTTTCTGTCGGCTGCTGTGAAGGTACTTAAAACCGCTTCAGTTTCCATATTATGAAGTTATTTCTTTGCAGCTGGACAGGCCCCCAGCAAAATGTGTTGTTTTTGAAGACGATCCAAGGGGAATCACCGCTGCTCATAACTGTACCATGAAAGCTGTCGCACTGATTGGTCCGCACCCCGCGTAAGTTGAAAGTTCTTATTTCCTCGCATACATCTATCTCACTGGTCGACTCGTGTAAATCAGCTACGAGCTGACTCAAGCAGATCTTGCAGTGAGCAGCTTCAACGAACTGTCAATTATCAACCTCCGCAGGCTGTTTGCAAACAAGGGATCTGAATTCATGGACTTGCAAAAGCAAAACGTGGGAAAGAATGTCCAGCGGAGGAGGCTCACCGTAGACACCTTCTGAAATCTAGACTAACCTCGCCCCTGCTTTTGTGCATGACGAGATGAGTGTATACTAATGTAATCTTTTGTTTAACTGCTTTGTACCTATCTCGCTAGGAAAGCGGCTATGGCGAGCTTAGGCCTGCCTTCTTCATCATCGTTTACGGTTGGGTCCTCGCGATCGCTTCCAGGTACTTTGGGTTTTCAAATGCCAAGCTTTGCTAATTGAAGACTTTCTCAGGTAGACGAGTGTTGATTGAATTCGGAGGAGCCTGGACGAGACAAGGGGTCGGGCTTCGTCTGCGTTCCAAAGGGTCATTTGTTGTCTACTCGGTTGCGGCTACAAAGGAAGTGGTCCCTGCAAACCTGGAGAAAGAACCACACAAGTATTTCGACCAAGTAACTATCATCGTGCGTTCCGGTGATGGAGGTGATGGAGCCATCCTCAGCATGCCAAAGCCTCCCGCGGATAAGGAGGAGGCGAAGAAGAGAAAGAAGCTCAACTGGGGACCTCTTCGGAAGGCTCCAGACGGATCGATTTTACTCCCAATGGGTGGTCATGGTGGTGACGTCGTGATTGCTGCCGACGAGAATGCGGACTCGCTCCTCGAGTTTCATAAGAAGAAGAGATACAATGCGAGGCGGGGCTCCGATGTGGGTGCAGTGAAAATCTTGACTCCCAGACTCCGCGATGCTGGTGCTGCTCCAACTCTTAAGCTCTACGTGCCTGTTGGTAAGGAAAGCTATCTATGGTTTTCTAGTGTTCATTTTTTTTCTTTTTTTATTTTTCAGGGACTGTTGTGAAGCAGAAAACAGGCTCCAAGCTCTTGGCCGACTTAACCAAACCAGGAGACAAAATTCTTGTAGCTCGTGGAGGCCGTGGAGGAGTGAGTTTTTCCATTTTCTCATCTTTCTTATGTTTATGTGCACCTTTAGATGAGCATGTTGAACAACCCGGTCAGCAGGAAAGTACCACAAAAGTTAATAGCACCAATCGTGACTGATCCAAGGGACAAGGTCTGTCATTCTATGCAATCTCCAGCTTGAGCTAACTATCGTGCAGACGCTGATAAAAGGTGTCCCAGGTGAAGAGCTTGTTCTGGAGCTGACACTACGAGTCGTTGCTGATATTGGACTAGTGGTAATAAATTTCATGGTTTACGAGCACTGTTCTTAAGTCGGAATTTCCTTTCCAAGGGACTGCCAAACGCAGGGAAGTCTTCACTACTAGCTGCAGTGTCGCAAGCTAGGCCAGACATTGCAGCATATCCATTTACAACTTTGATGCCAAACCTTGGAAGACTTCAAGGCGATCCCGAGACACCTGATGGAGGTTTGTGCGGTGGAGCAACGATGGCGGACCTTCCGGGGCTGATTAAAGATGCACACCTTGGTAAAGTGCGAAGCTCAAAACATCTCTTTCCTTGGGTTGTTTCACCGAGTGATGTGCAAACAGGGACTTGGACGCATGTTTTTACGCCACTTACGAAGGACAAGGTTGATTCTTCATGTGGTGGACGCTTCAGCTGACAATCCCGTGGAGGACTACAAAGTCCTCTGTGAGGTACACGAGTGGTGCTTGCTAGCAACTTGACGAGCAATACTTTTTCATTGCAGGAGCTTCGCATGTATAATCCGGAGTACTTGGACAGACCTCACATTGTTGTGCTCAACAAGCTGGACTTGATACAAGTAACTCTTTTCTATTCTCTTGTCCCAGCCGTAAAAACACATGCTGGCTCTGCAGGAAAAGGGACGTGTAGAAGCGATCAAGCAACGAATTCTGGAAGTACCAGATGTCCCAAGCATGCAAGATGATGATCGAACTGCCAGAAGTTATCCTCGAGCAGCGGCTGTTGTTGGCATCAGTGCACTGTAAGCAAGAATGAACTGCTCAAAGACGTACTCAAAGTTTTTATTTTTCTTTTTTCAGGAAACGAGAAGGCATCAGTAATGTGCTCAAACAAGTCCGGCGTATACTAAAAATTTTGGAACAAGCCGAGGAAGGAGATCAAGCATAGAGATCGATCCCCCAGAACCTTGCAGGCTGGTTGCTTCGGAGCTTCTTGTCCACCTGACTGATCTTCTTTATTTCTTCGTGAGAGAGCTGGAAATCAAAGATGTCGATGTTCTCTTCCAAACGCTTGGCCTTGCTCGACTTCGGTATCACGTTTGTGTTCCTTTGAAGACCCCATCGCAGCATAACTTGGGCCGGAGTCTTTTCATACTTCTTTGCCAGTTCCTGAAACACACAAAGTTTGTAACTTGGAAGAAAGAATGGAACAAAGGTTTGTTTTTCTTTCACATACCAGGAAGAGCGGATCTTCCAGAGGACTTTTGTATCCAAACCACTCCTCGTTTGCAGCGCCGCCACCAAGAGGAGTGTGGGCAGTGACAACAATGCCGTGCTTCTGGCAAAATTTGACAAGATCGTGCCTCTGGAAGTAAGGATGGGTCTCAATCTGGTTCACTGCCGGCTTGATCTTGGAGTAGGCCAGACAGTCCGCCGTCAAAAATATGTCATAGTTGCTGGAAAATGATCCAGCGTGAGTTACTCATGGCGCAAGGATCACACACCTTATCCCAATGCTGCGAACGATACCAGCTTCCACAAGCTCCTCCATGGCGTGCCAGGTCGATTGCAAAGAAATGGTCACGTCGATTTCCAGCATACCATCCTCGCCTACTGCACTGCCCGTCGTCCCAACACCTACATACATACACGATTAGCATACGGAAATTCACGCAAAGCATCCATCTTGCCTGTGTGCTTTGTCGCCACCGGGAAATGTATGAGGTAAAGATCCAAATAGTCCAGCTGCAGCTTCTTCAAGCTATCCAGACACGCTTCTTTCACATGCCCGTGATCGGAGTTCCACAGCTGCGGCAAACAAAGAGAGTTAAGAAATACAGCGCTCGAGCTCTTCCTTCCCACCTTGGTTGTGATGAAAACATCCTCCCGCTTGACAAGCCCCTGCTTGAACGCGAGCGCCAGAGCTTCGCCAACCTCGGCCTCGTTCTTGTAGTCGGCTGCCAGGGCGAGACATTTGAGAAACAGGCCTAGCTTTCTTCCACAAAGAGAAATGACTGACCAGCGCAATCGAAATGGCGATACCCCAGCTCCAGCGCCCGCGGGATGATCTCCTTGAGCACCTCCGGCTCCGCTCGCCACACGCCCAACCCCAATGCCGGCATCTTGTGGCCGCTGCTCAGCTCCATCACCGCTCCAGCCATCACTCGAGCCCTACAAACAAACACTGCAGCTTTATAGTAGTGTTTTGTTTATATCTCCGGCTAACTATAAAGGAGGCACAAACCCACATTTCTTTGTCCGCCACCCTGTGTGTGCCTTGCGACACTCTTTTATATATTTCCCGTCAGCTAGTATACAAGGAGGAGATCACAGCTCCCAAGAATCTCTTTCTTCCAGCGAATGAATGGGAGAGTAAAACAATGACAAATCGACGAACTCCACGATCAGAGGAAGAAACATTACCTCGCATGTGTAAAAAAGTTGGCGACTTGTTTCCTTTTGTTCTTCACGCTCTGGCGTGACCCGTGTTGCGCTTGTGCCTGCTAAAGTCGGACACGAATCTAAACGTCTTGTCACACTCGGGGCACGAATACGGCCTCTCGCCGGTATGGACTCGTATGTGCTCCGTCCTCGCCCACGCCCACTTGAAGGACATTGTGCATCCCTGCCACGGGCACTTGAGCGGCCTCTCGTCCATATGAACCCGCCGGTGCTGCACCAAGTACTTGTGCGAGAAGAAGCGCTTGCCGCACCCCTTGAACGTGCACTTGTTCTTCTTGTGCTGCGCCAGCTCTTGCTCCGAGTTGAAGCTCATCGTACACCCCTCTACGTCGCACGGGAACGGGTTGTTTGCGTCGTCCACCTCGTCCGCCGCCACCACACCCACGTTCCCACCACCACCATTTCCTGCTGCTGCTGCCGTCGTCGCCGCCGCTGCTCCTGCTGCTCCCGCTGCCTTTGCTCTCTTCCCGCCACCTCCCCTTTTCTTACCACCCTGCGGCGTTTCAGATTTCTTGCTCCGGTAAGTACCACCTGCATGCTCACCATCAGTCATGCAAATCCCACAACAATATGTGCTACTTACACTCGATTCCTTCCCAGCCCGTTTCCGTGACACACGAGAGAGGGAACGAGTCCTGGTTCTGGATCAGCGCCACTTCTTCGGCTGGCGCAGCGAGCCTGTTAAGCAGATTCTCCCACGTTGCACGCTTCACCCGCGACTTGCTGGAAGACCGCTTCCTGCTTGCAGCAAAGCACGGCAGCGCCTTGGGAGGAGAGGTGTCGGAAGCACTTCCGCTCCTCAGAAAGTACTCGTCAATGTCACTAGCACTCTCGTCCACCACAACCTCATCGTCCTTGCCGTCCTCTTCAGACTCGTCGGCATACGCGTCGGTGGCAATTAGCCCCGAGACGCTGTCCGGAATGTCCTCCATGAGACTGTTAAGCTCGTCTGAGTTTTCTACGCACTCTATCCTGGCTTTCTTCGACAACACCAGCATTTGACTGTCGCCACTCCTCCTTTTCAAACGAGCAACCAGCTTTCTAGCTCGATCGGCTGGCCTCTGATCCCACTCTTGCATCTCGTCAAAACCGGTGTCCTGTTGAGATGTGCTGCATATGCCATTCGGAGATATGTCACTCGACCATTCGTAGGCTTGCATGGGAGGGCCTAACGACGGAGAACACGATACTGGAACATCGTGCCACTTAACCAGCTCGGCCGAGTCAAAATCTGAGTTTCTTTGGCACCCTGTCGAGGAACTAGCCGGATTAAACGAGGTCTCACAAGTAGTAAGTAGCCAGCCTTGTACGTTCGTTCCTCCGTGATTCTTCGTCGAATCTAGAGAAATAAAATGAAAAAAAAAACCTTCAGAAAGCCGGCAACTATCAAAAAGAAAATGCGTACCTTGGTCATTTTGCTGGTTTTCGCTAGAGTTGCATTCTAGTGAAAACACAGCCTGCTTGCAAACGCCATGCTGAGCTTGTTGTAGCCGGGCTTGTAAACCATCAAACTTTAGTCTTTTCTTTCTTCCTTCCCGGGCAACAGCATTTCGTTTTGACTTCCGCAAAATAGCTGCTGTCATTACTCTTTCCTGCTGCTCCCAACCGTCTTTCCTCAACTTCTTCAATGGTTGACTAGATAGTCCAGGAAAACTATTTCTAATCTTCATAGCCGGCTGCAAACGTTTCTGGATTCGTAAGACTTGGCTCAGTAAATGTGCAGCACTTTTTCCACCCCCTAACAGTGGATGCACCTGACTTGCTTTCCACTGCCTTCCGCACCAAATCATTTTCTTTTCCGCTTCGGGTTTCGTTGTTAAAGGTATTTCCGATTCAGCCTCAGCTTCTGTTTTTCGATCCTCCTGTTCTAATCTCACTTCCGAGTTCACTATACCAGCAGTACCTTTCCTATTTCTTCTGCTTCCAATCCCCATCTTCGCACACCAGTTCCAGCCAAGGCTGTTGTCTATCTTCAAATGGATTGCCTTGCTTACTATCTCGACTTCTGCTTCAGATGCCTCGCGCAAAGGTATCTGCTGCCAGTTAAAAATGGCGTGCATTCCTTGACCCAGCTCTTCTGCTTTTCTTTGAATGGCACCATAATCTGAAAGACAAACTTGAAACAAAAGTTAAAAAAATACAGTAACGTACTTGGATGGCAGATAACAAGAACAGTTGCTCCACCAAGGGGTTGTAGCTTCGTCACAGCCTCCACCGCATGCTCAAGGCATAAGACATAAGGTCGGGCAGAGCCCCTATAGAACTTCCATGCTCCAATTGTCTTATCCACATCTGCCTCGTTGTTTGAGCAAGAAAGGATCGGATTTGCAGCGTCGACCTCGACCGCGGAACAATCTTCGTCTAGTTCGTTGGTGGAGAAAATGTTGTTGGATTCACAGTTGAAGCTACAGACTGGAGCTTGAACAACAGGAATTTCCGTTTCTCTGTGACTATCACATTCTGTCACGTTCGTAGCAGTGGCCGACGAGTTATCCAATATATCAAGATCCTTCGTTGGCTCTTCTCCGAACCACAAGCCTTTCGAAACAAATATTGCCGACAGCGACCGGCCTGCTCCAGCTTCCACCACTGCCTGGTTTTGAAGTTCCTGGTCCAAGTCTGCGACACATGGCTCATCTCGAAGGGCCAGCCACGGTGCGTCGACAGATGTTCCCACCTCATCCGTACTTATGACCGCATCAGGAGGAACATCGGGTCCACACTGCTCGATGTCTTCCTTCAGATCATCCTTGTACATCTCTGCTAATAGCTCGAGAGAAGGCCGAGTCAAACGGGTTCTGACTTTCAGGAGTTTCTGGAGCGCTTCACTATCTGGGATGTTGTCATCGGAGAGGGAGCTCACTTCGGGTAGCAAGTCGCAGTCCCCGGCATCGGGTTCTTCGTGCGCACTGTTTAGTTGGCATATTCCTGCAACACAAAAGAGATGAATTTCACAAAGGACTTGAACATCGGGCTTACCTGAAAAATGAGACAGTTTTTTCTGAATTGACCCCGTGTCTACCTTCGGAATGTCGGAAACGTCCACGAGGCTGGAAGGTGGCAAAACTCCTGCCTGACTCGTACGGCACTTTTGCGGCTGCTTGCGCTGGCGATAAGAAAAAGTTGGAGTTGCCATCGGTTGCACCAAAGCCATGCTTGCAAAGCATAAGATTCCACAGGCTGCACAAGGTAGTGCACCCCACGGAGTAGGCAAAGGAGCTATCCGAGATGCTTCGTTCGCCTTTCCGTATCTATCTGGCGAGAAAGATTTACTTTCCACGGAGAAAGGCTTGTCGTTGTTTTTCTCTGCGTGGAGCGAGCCAGTGTCAGAATGACTTGTCTGTTGCGTTTCAGCTTCGCAAGCCTGAGACGCGATCATTGTTTCAGCTGCCGTTGCCTGTGGACGAGTGCCAGGTGTTTTGCATTCTCTCAAAAAGACGCATCCTTCCACTCCAAATTCCAGCAGCTTGGCAATGACCGTGTTGTTCTGGTTAACTTCGTTCACAAAGGCCGACTTTACCGCGCTTTCAACCTTAAATGTCGATAGTTGAAGCTGCGGGCTGCTTGGACTCCTGTCAAGCCACTACGCATTTAGAGGCAAAGGGATAAGAAACGGACACCACCACGTACTTCGCAAGCGACATTGTAAATAAGTAGAGAAGTTGTTCGTGTGAGAGCATTGGGAGATGACTCATAGATGCTCGTCTTGCTGCTGCTTCGCGCGCAACCTCCAGCCACGCAGGTGTAGCAAAGTTCGCAGCCTCTCCACAGTTGAAACCTGAAAGTCAAACGTACCAGATATTCACGTCATGTACAGAAACTTTTACAAACAGACAAACCATGACTGAAGCCCAGATGGTAAGCTCTTGGAAACGTAATGACGTACTCTCCCGGATTTTGCACGAGCCTAACATTACAAAAGAAACGTTGGCATCGGGGTAGCTATCGACAATCATTGACTACCTGCAACATGGTACTCCCGCGGCAACCAAGACTTCGGGCGAGAGTACAGTCGTCTTCTCTCCCAAAAGAGTGAACGCGGCTGCCAAAAATTGGAGAAAAAAAAAGAAAGAGAAAAAGCTTGATCGTCAGCCTGAAACGATTTTATAGAGAGACAGACCTCGGGGCTTCAAGCGACTGCCATAGCCATACAAACGAATGACTTCCTCCAGAGCACAGGCTGCATCCGATGGCACCGCATACCACGTTTTCCGAGCACCCGTGTGGAGATAGTTGAGACTGTGGAGCTCGTGGTCCTCGACGTGCCAAGCAAACCAGCTGAAGAGCATACCAAGGTACACCATCGGAGTGGTGACGCCAGGGACTTCATCCGGCATGCACTTGAGTAACGAGCCGTGGGAGCGGGCAATGTTGCGGATGTTCCACCCACTGCCGGCCAGCTCTCGGCCATCTTCTCCTTGGAAAGCTCCAGCACCCGAGTCTAGAAACGCAGAGCCTGGAATATCGTTTGCGTACTCGATGGATATAGGCTTGGAGAACTCGGCATTCCAAAAGAGTGTCTCCACTGCCAGCGGGCTCAAGTCGTCGCAGCCAGGGCCGAGAGTGGTAGAGGAGAAGGCCTTGGCCTTGTCCTCAAACTGTTCCAGTGTGTAGTATTCGCCACTCTCCCAGACCAGCTTTTGCGCTCTGTACTGCGATCCCCCGCGATGTCTCCTCGGGTTCCATCCCAGCTGCTGCCTCCTCGTCGTGAATTTCGCCGTCGAATCCACACTCTGCGGCATGACAACCCGAGCGTCTCCTTCTCCCCCGACGGCGCTACACATGCTACGCGCCAGAGGAGGAGCGGCGGCGGCGTGGATGGAGCAAGATCCCGGAGCCGTGGCGGCGGCAGTGGTAGCGTCTTGGGTGGCCGCGAGAGACGCATTGAGGTTGGACAGCACCGTGTTCTCGGGGGCCCGGCTGTATGGGGGAACGATTTTGCAGATACCATAGTGACTGGCCTCCTGCTCAATCTTGAGAATGTAGGCAATGGGATCCACAAACTCCTCCTCGCTGGGGTGGAACTCGGGCGCCAGGGGCAGCGACGCCAGCCAAGGTGCTACATCTACGCCTACCATGTCTGGCTTGTCTAGGCAGCCTCTCCTACGCGCCCCCAATCGATTCAACCCTGCGCCCCATCAAACCCTGATTTCACCCGCTGTGCTTGCTGCCCCAGGGATGAGCGCCTCCAACGCCGCCGCGCCCACTGCCATGGACGCTCCAGCTCCGCCCACCCCAGCTCACCCCCAGCCCTAGCGGCCTCCTCTGCTTTCCTCTGCTCGTGACGGCCGCGACGGCCTGTGAAGGGCAGTTTGAGATATTTCTTTTCTGCAGGGCTAGAGCTGGACAGGAGTCGAACCCGTGGTCTAGGGCTTTTAGGGGTCTGCCAGTGGCAGCCATGGGGAAGGCGCCGAAGCCGCCCAAATTCGCACAGATGAAATCTATGGTCAAGCCGAAAGCGATTCGCAAGTAAGTGAGATCCTGGAACTCGCAGCTCGCCTGAGAGGATTGAGCTTACACATTTCTTTCTCACAGGTACAAGGAAGAAGTGCTCAATCCATTCAAGAAGGACAAGGACAAGGAGAAGGAGAAACTCGTCAAAAATGTGTAAGCTCTCACTTCTTTCACGGCTCGAGGATTTCTACCCGTTTTTTTCCTCTTTGCTATCGCTGCAGTCCAAATGTGTCGTCCGCTCTGTTTTTTAAATACAATACAGCGCTTGGACCACCTTACCATGTGCTTGTCGACACAAATTTTATAAACTTCTCTATCCAGAACAAGGTAGTCCCGCATTCTTGCTTTGCTCACTTCACATTTGTTCCTGTGTTTGTTGCTTCGCAGCTGGACCTTGAAAAGGCGATGATGGACTGCCTATACGCAAAATGTGAGACTGGATCATGCATACTTTAGCCTGTTCTCCAAACTCATGGTTTTCACTCCAAGGTACTCCGTGCATTACCGACTGTGTCATGGCAGAACTTGAGAAGCTTGGCACTAAATACCGCGTGGCGCTCAAGTAAGTGGAACTTAACTTTGTAGTATTTTCCAGCTGAGACTTGATTTGTAGGATTGCCAAGGATCCAAAGTTCAAAAGGATACCTTGTACGCATCCAGGAACTTATGCCGACGACTGTTTGGTTGAGCGTGTGACTCAGGTATGCGGACTCCTTTTTATCTTTTTTTTTTTTGTGTCCAAGGCCCGACGGTTGCTTTTTTGGCGGTGAATGACAGCACAAATGCTACATTGTAGCGACATGCGATCGTGATCTCAAGCGGCGTATTCGGAAGGTGAGGCACTGCAATCGAAAATGCTTTACTAAACGTAAACGCTGTAGATTCCTGGCGTGCCTATAATGTTCATCACTCAGCATAAGTACTCAATAGAGAGATTGCCCGAGGCCACCATTGGAGGAGGTAACGAGAAAGCCTTTTCTATTCTATTCTCATCTCACGTACTTTGTGCAGCTCCGAGAACGTAATAATGGCCATCATCGGCTTTTCCTTGCGGATGTTTCATCGTCAGAATTTTGTATCCGGGTTTCAGTTTTTCTTTACTGCGTTGTGTTAGGTTACCATCTATGACAATGTGTAAGATGTCGCGGGAGCTGAACCGAAAGCAGATCAAGCAGTCATTGCTCAAGTGATCACTTTTTTTGTTCAAGTTGTGCTAGGTGTGTGTGATCGCGATCGGAATAATAGAACATGAGAAAGATTGATGACCCGCAGCGAGACGCTCCAGGAGAATGTCAAACGTTTGGCTTGGTCAGAGATAAGTTTTCGTATTCCGTTTTCTCATTCGACTTTTTTGTTACCATTTTTCAAGGGGATCATCGCTCCGGCTGCTCCAGTTGCGTTCCATTGACAGCTGAAATTGCTCAAGAGTTTCAACGAGCTGCTCAAAGTCAGGGCGCGCGTGCGGATCCAGAGACCAGCACCTTTGCATGAGCTGACTTAAAAGAGATGGACAATCACGCGGCACCTCCGGTCTTGCGTTCTGCAAGAAAGTAAATGAGATATGGCTCTCGACAAGGAAAGCAAGACACCAGCAAGGTGGATGGTGTACCTTGTTGACAACTGCAAAGGCAGCTTGAACTGGAGTCATGTCTTGGAAAGGAGTCTGGCGTGTGAGCAGCTCCCACAGCACAATGGCGAAGCTGTAGGCATCCACCTTGCGGGAGTGGGCCTTTCCGTTGACGAGCTCGGGTGCCATCCATCGGAAGGTGCCAACATCGGAGGTGACGCTGTCGCCACACTCGGACTCGAGCGCCGCGACGCCAAAGTCCGTTATCTTGACGTTGAATTCGTCGTCGAGTATCAGATTCGCGGATTTGAGATCCCGGTGGACCACCCGTTGCGAGTGCAAGTATCGAATCCCCCGCGCGATGTCCAGGGCCATGTCCACCACCATCCGGAGCGGCAGCGCCGCGCCTCCGTTGGAGCGGAGGAAGTCCTTGAGCGAGCCTCCGGCCAGGTACTCGGTCACGACGCAACACACGGGCGGCCTCTTCCATGCGCCTACGAGCTGCGTTCTAGCGTAAGAATGGAGAATGGAGAGAGAGGCATCATACAAACTCCAAGGCCTCTCACCTGGACAACGTTTGGATGGCGGAGCCTCGAGAGTAGGGAAACCTCCCGCGCGAAGAGCTTGTCCAGGGTCGTGGTACCAATGGTGGCGGAGTCGCAGCCTTGTGGGTGCCGGGTGACTTTAACAGCCACGGCCTTGCCTTGGTAGATGCCATGGTAGAGGCGGCTGTGCGCGCCGGATGCAAACCTCGGACCCAGCAGCAGCTTGGACAGATCAATCATCCACTCCTCGGCGGCCTCCACGGCCTGCTCGTCGCCCCGGGGCTCCAGGTAGCGGGACCACGACACGAGGCGCCGGAGCTCTCGCTTGGGCTGATGCTCGCCGCATGGCAATGCAGCCGACGGCGATGGACACTTACCGTCGTCGCTGCCCAGCACAGGCAGTGGACCCGAGAGGGACTTGGCATAGCTCGCTTTTGGGAGACTGTGCCGACGATCTGATTGGGTGCGCGCCGGAGGTGGAGTCCCTGGCGCTGGAGCTGGAGGCGCTGGAGCTGGAGGGGCTGGAGCTGCTGCCACGGAGCTCGTCTTTGACTTGCTCCTGGGGCTCTCCTCCCCGTGGCCTTCCTCCTCGTCCCTGGACAAGCTCAGCAGATCCATGCGGTGGCAAACGGAGCGAGAGAATCTGTAGCGGCTCAATTCACCCATCTGGATGGCTAATCGCCCCAACCAATGCGGCTTCTTCTTGCTTCTTGCTTAAGACCTGGCAGCTCCGAGGCTCCTACAGCCTTTCTTTAGCCGTGACACAAACACACACACACACACACACTGTGCCTAGGAGGCTAGCCAAAACAACAAACAGGTATAAATATACCAGTGCCTTCTGCCCTCTTTATCTATCTTGTTAACTGCTACTTTGTTCCTCCCTGTCGTACACCCCATGCACGGAACACGGAAGGGTACGACACCGTAACACCACAGCTGGATGGGAAATCCCTCATTTCCCGCTACTCTACTGCCACACCCCTCCAACAACACACATGGCCTCTTTGATTGCGAGCAAAGCTTTGACTCTAGTCAAATACCGGTCAACGTCAGTTTTTTACGTGTGGAAGCGAAAGAATCAGCGCTAAACAAAGATCCAAACATGCATGTGCACCGCCCGCAAATGCTATTTACAAATCACTGGGACTAGACCTAGATTGGCGCTGGCTGCTCGTGCTCGAGATGATTGTTGAGGAAGTGAAGCAGCGACAAACTGGACGCCAAAACGTCATCGTCACTCACACTCTCCGCCGGTGAATGGCTGATCCCGCCTTTGCACCTCACAAACAGCATCCCAATCTGCCACAAATGAAGCGAATTCTGTAAGCCACCATGACAATTTCTAAAGCGTTCAGCTACCTTGGTTAGATGGGACATTGCCATTGCGTCGTGGCCAGCTCCGCTCATCAGGCTGGGCACTAAGTCGTCCGCGGCCGGTGCATCCACACCACCTCCTCCAGGAACCTCCAAAACTGTGGATTCAGCAGCTGCTTTTAAGCTAGCCATCAAATCCTTGTCACAGCCAACAGCCTTGGCCTCATGCTACGTACCACCACTAAAGAATATTAGCCGAGGACCGACATGGGACTGTTAGACGACGCAAGAACTTTACCATTTTGTCGATGGTGCAGGACAGTCCCCGCCCCCTGCAGATGCTGCGAATAGATTCTTCAACTTCCCCCACAATTTCCTCCCGAAGGGAATCGTCCGTCGCTCGGAGATCGATCGTGAACGCAACCTGCTTGGCGGGTCCAGCAAATCCATTAAATCAAGCTTTTTCTTTCTTTTCTGGCGGTGTTTCTCTTGTTCATTACCTCCCCAGGTATGACGTTGCTGGCACCGGGCCATGAAAATATCTCGCCCACCGTGCACACAAGCCCGCCTCCACCGGGAACTCGAGCCAGCGTGGGGCTTTCCCTGCACAACTTCTCCACCGAAACTATGGCTTGCGCTGCTCCCGGCATGGGATCCTTCCTCATTGCCATTGGCACCGTGCCGGCGTGGCCTTGTGCTCCATGCAGCCGCACCTGATACATGTGATCAAAGTGGATGGACTAAATACACTGAAAGCGCTGTCTACGTACTTTGAGCCGGGTCTGGCCCGCAATTGCCTCCACAAGTCCGAGTGGGATCCCACGGGCCTCCAACACTGGACCTTGCTCGATGTGCACCTAAAGCAGCAGCGACGAAAGTTACTCAAGCCACTCTCTGTCACTTTGTCTCGCTTAGTTTACCTCCACGTAGCCCCACACCGATTCCGGAGAATATCTGAGCTGCACAAGGCTGTCTCTGGTCCCCTTGAAGGAGCGGGCTTTGAGAGACGTCTCCAAAGTGGCACCACTGCAAGCAATGAACGAATGACGCTCAACCTCAAAAACCACAAACAACATCGTATACGTAGCAAAAGAGGAAGGGAGAGCAGAGCACCTTCGATCTCGAACGGACAAGATGTCGGGCCGGAGCACCCCAGCAACGGCAGCGCTTCCCAGGAATGTGGACTGGAAACGAACGCCCTCCTCGTCACAAAACGCGATTATCTGCAAGCAAAAAGCCAGGAGGAATGATTTAGAAGTGACAAATTGCATGGTACCTCAATCGGACGCACGTAGCTCCGGAGCTTGCCATTGCTATTGAGCATCTTGACGGCGGCGATGGCCGAGACTATCCCCAAGGCTCCATCATACTTGCCGGCGTCGATGACGGTATCCTGCACGAGAATCTCATCAGAATCCCTTAGGAATCTAGTGGAATCCCCAAGTATCTGTACCAAATGAGACCCCATCAAAAGCGCTGGCGCCGACGCATTAGCACCGTCGGCCCGACCGTGAATGTTGCCGATGTCGTCCATCCATCTACACACAAACAAGGCAAAAAACAAAGGGACAATTGCAAAACATGTCCGGAAAAGTCGATTACGTGGAGAGGCCCGCATCTTGCATCCATTCTTGCACAAGCTTTCCTGCTCGTATCGCGGCGGGGCTCAGAAAGGTTCGCTCCAAAAACTCCTTGGAATCACTTGTCTGGAATTGTAGAGCGCCATTAGGATCCAAACGAGACACCGAAAAAGATGATAGACAAGGGCGCAACCTTGCCGAGCTGGTTGAGCCTGGCAACGGCTTCGTCCCTGAGAGTTTTGATGGCATCTAGAGAGTCCTCGGATGTGGCGATTTCTGTCAGCACGACGCAAAGCAGGGGCAAAACATTAGAGGGGCGATTTGCATGCAAGCGGAGATTCCACTTACTGGCCAAGAGAAGCAAGACGAGTAGCAGACCGCATGGAGCGGCAGCCATCGCCACAAGAAAGAGCTTCCCTACAAGCGAGAGAGAAAGGAGAGAGCGAGTTAAATAAAAAGGCCCGACGCCTACCACTTGGGGGCGATCAACGCCGTTGGGGGCCCAACGGGGAAGATCCGTGCTCCGGCGAGCTGGGAGAGTAGTCACTCACTGCTGTCAGCCTTTCTTCGTTTTTGTCAATATTTTGTGGCCGCAGGAAAGATGCTTATGTCAGAGTGCGTGTGTCTCGTAGCATCCTCTGCTAGGTGGTGCGTTTCATTCGGCTTTCCTTTTCGTCTCTAAGCCAAGGTTTTAACATAACAAATTAAACGCGTTCGTTACAAAAAAGTTTCTTCAGTATGAACATTCTTCATTCTCGCTTATCTTGCTGCTCACTGTCTTCGTCCAGCCGAAACACGTCGCTACTCACTATCTTCTTCTCCTTTCTTTCGGGTTTGATGTTAGCACCCACAGCCTCCGGCGGGATTGTCATCTTCGACGCTGTGAGAGGAATGGACTCTTCATCGCCCTCGTCGCTAATCTCTTCCGAGTAGGCATACCTGCATCAGTAGCAAACATAGTCAAGCGCTGCTTGGCATAGATAGATAGATAGATAGCTCACTCACCTCGTAGAGTTATGTGAAGGAGCCCAAAGCGCACAGATGACGCACAGGATGCAAAACGTGAGCACGTTCCAGAAAGCTGAGATTATCCACGCGCTCGACCAGTGCTTCCCATCCGAATCCGAGGCCTTGAAATACAGCTGCGCACGCAAAGAAGCGGTCATCACTCCCGTGATTACAAAGAGACACTCACCTCGAATCCTATCCAAGCTACAGCCACAAGCACCGCAATGGCCAGAGAGTTTGTAAACTTTCGGTACAGGTCCAGCTTCGCCGATTGTTTCTTCACCTGGAGCGTATCATTAAACACATGTGAGATGGAAAGAAAGAATCAAACGTTGGTTTTAACCTGCAGCTTCTCCAGCGTCCTTGACAGCGATGTGAAGATCCACAGGATGAAGAAGGCATCCAGGACAGCCACCGGCAAGACGAGCAGCAGCTTCACCCGGTAGGAGATCTCGTCGATCCGTCCAACGTGCTCCACCACATCCAAGCACTCTGACGCCACGAAGAAAGTTCCACCCAGGAACAGCACCTTGGATGTGAGACCCCCCAGCGTAGGCTGCACCACACCATAGCCCATGGAGACGATGAGCACCAGGATGCGGGACAGCGTCTTCTTGACAGCGCCAATGGTGACTGCCCACAGCGTTATGCCCACCGGCCGCTTCCCGGTGGCGTTAAAGTTGACGTAGTCGAAGTACCAGGTTGCCATCTCGGCCATGCCCAGGCCGATGACGAGCGTGATGCAGTTTTGGAGCTGGAGAATGTCTCGCCAGAACCGCGTGTACTGGACGAGCCACACCAATCCCAGCGCCAGGTACGCCACCGACATCAAGGCGTAGAATGGAACCAGCGGCGTCATCCTCCCGGGCAAGTAACCCGACGGATTCTTCCACACCGTCTTGCCGGTCACCTCGGCGGCCTCGAGCGCGGGATCACAGTGCACGAAGTAGAGCAGATACATGCCCGTCTTGGTGATGACAATCTCCTCGACCGGCATCCGAGCCTGGGTGCTGGACTCGTCGAATTCCACCCGGACAACGCGCGGAGAGCTCGGGTTGTCGGTGGAGTTCCGGTAGATGATCTCACCTTCCTTGCAGCCAACTTCCCTGGCAAGGTCCGCGCTGCAGCACAGATCCAGGCGACCGACGAAGGCCGATCCGCCCAGATCGTCCCTGTCCGCCACATCGAACGCGAGAGCCTGGATGAAGTGCCCACTCCCGCCGGCTGCCTTGCGCCGGAACACAAGCGATTGATCAAACCTGTGCAAGCAAGCACGCTCACTCAGAATTTCCACGGAGAGAATTCCACTTCTCTACCTGATGTACGATCGGCCATTGGCGAGCCCGGATTTGGCAGATCGCGGCGCCGATGCGTAGAGCCCCTCGCTGCCGCCGAAGTAGACAAATGCATTACCCTGCGCTTCAAACCGGCCGTGGGAGTAGTCGTGGACCGACGCATCCACGAGGAGGAGGAAGAATGCCGCGCCACACAGCGCGGCGGCAGCCAGCAGCCGCAGCTGCTTCTCCATGGATCACCAAGCCCTAGCCAAGCCCTTAGTAGGTCGGCCCACTTAAGATTATATAGCCAAAATACATATCCAGCGACATCTCAGTCGAATGGGTCGATCCGGGGGTCGTGCTCGCTGGCCAGAGCCATTCCCGTGCACAGGCAAGTCGGGCACATCACCTGCATTCCCGCAAAAGTCACGAAAACACACACACACAACAAAAGAAAAAGGTCCATCACCTTGGCTGCTCCCGAGCAATTGGGACACCTCTGCGTGGTCGTCCGGCGGATTTTCGATTTTCCTCTCGCTCCTGCTGCTGCTGCTCCTCCTGCTGGCACTTCTGGCGAAGCTGTGTCGGGCAGGATCAAGACGGTTCCAGTTCCAGAGCAGCGCGCACAGGCGAGGTAGCCGGTCCCTACGCAGTACTTGCACCGCTTGTAGTCCTGCTGCTTCACGTTGTTGATCTCCACCACCATTAGAGCCGAGATCACGCCCACCGCGCCACCCGAGAAGGAAGCCACAATTGGATCCACCTGGCTGGATTTGCAAAAACACCACCTTTTGAGTTTACTGCCGCAGCTAAGTACCTGAGCTGGAGCGGAAGATGCAGCATCTGGATAAAATCCTTGTACGAAGAACCGCCCAGTCCCAGCTTGAGTTCCAACTGGAGATCAAGAGCTCAGGGTGAAAAAGCCACGTAATAGAAAAAGAGAGAACTCACGGAAGGGGCGAGAAGGCCTCCAAAAAGCATGATGCTTGCGATGAGGCCGAAGCAAATTGCGTAGTAGAGCTTCAAGGTCTCCGTTTTCTGGAAGAAAAGAGACACGAGTTTGGATTTGATTCCATGCGACGAAACTTACGAGTGGAGGAAAGAAGGGAATGGACGATGGATACTCGGGCGTATCCCTGTCATCTTCCACTCCTTGCTCTGCGTTCTTGATTCGCAGCTGGATCCGCAGCCTTCTCACCTGCGGAAACACACGGGTTTGCTCAACATCGTACCCATTAGAATCGAATCCCACACTCGCCTCCTCCATGAGCAGAAAGATTTTGTTGCGGCGGCTCATGATGTTGTCACGAATTTCCTGCAGCTCCATGGCTGCAAAATCCTGCACTGTGTTTGGCCCTTCGATGATGCAGAAACCCGCCACGCCGGCATTCTCCGCATCTGCTCTAGAGAAGAAAGGAGGAGCTCACAAATTCGTCCATACGGGGTTGGAGGCTGGCTTACCTGGAACTGGAGGGAGGAGGAGAGTCCCCAGCAGCAGCAGCAGCTATGGCACCCTTCGGGCCTCTCAAGGCAAGCCTGGAACAACAGTAGGCATGGCGGCGGAGGTGGTGGCCACGCGCGGTGAAGAACAAGGACGGATTCAATTTCGTGAGGCTAGCCATTCGTCGCTAGCTACGAACACGGATGAAAGGTCATACCTTGGGTTTATTCCCTTCCTACTTCACTGTTTTAACTTGCTCGCTCACCTCCCTCTCCTCAAACTCAAAACGCTTTACTTATTTGCTTTGTTTGTGCCTCGAGAACTTTCGTCACGGCTCAAGCCCCGCACTAGTGGCAAAGCTGCTGAGGCAGATTGCAAACGCCTGGAACGCCGACAGCGGGTAGCAAAAATCCATGGTATAGACGTTCTTGTCGATCTTGCCCAGCTGCAAGATTATCGTGTTGTTGTTGTTGTTGTTGTTGTTGTTGTTGTTGTTGCTGCTGCTGCTGCTGCTGCTGCTGTCGGCGCTAATCAGCTGAAAGTTGTGCATGGATGGCATCGTTGCTCGGCCTTTGAAGTCAAGCGACCAGCACTGCTGCTGGGCATCCCATGCAGGAACTTTGCTCCGCAGCTCCAGGTGATGGCAGGCCTCCGACTCCACCTCACTCTCGTCTCCCTCGGCTTGCATCATCACCGGCATCAAAGCAGCAGCAGCCGGAGGGAGAGCCACCACCGCCGCAGCCGATCGGCTTGTGGCAGCAATCTCCAGCATCGACGACCGTCTACTCCTCCGCCTGATCCTGTTGCCGCTGCTGCTACCGCAGCTCTTGAAGCTAGCATATGGGGAAGCACAGCTCCACGTGAGCAGCCACGACCTGACCGACGCAGGCATCAGCCTGCGCTCGTTCCTCAGCCTCCGCCTCTCGAGAACAAAACTGAGGCCGCCGCCAGCTTTGCATGGCTGCGGGAGAGCGCACTGGATGCGTCTCTGCCGGATCCCGTTCACTATATGCTCTACAAATCTCAAGCTTACCACCGGAATGCTGCTGGTCTTGCCGTCGTCGTCATCCGCGTCGTCTTGCTTCTCCCACAGCACAAACTCGGACGCCCAAAAGTTGGACTTGAGCTTGCCAAGAGTGTCCGGGCCCTGCTTGTCCATGAGATCTTGCGGGTCCTTCCCGACGATGTACGAGAATCCAGTCGGGAGCCATCTCCGGCGGGCAGCCAAGAGGAAGTGCTTGTCGTCGCCATGAGCACCCGCATCCGACGCGTCCACACCACCGCTCATGAGGGTCTGGTACAGAAGAAAGTGGTTCCCCTTGCGCGTGAGCAAGCACTGGATCGGAGGATGATGACCCCGAGGCCCCGGCTGCATCAGTCTCCACGGGAACTCGATCACTGGGCATGAAGGCGGGGCGGAAGCGGCCCAATCCCCAACCTTGCTACCCTGCCGCTGGACGAAGCCAAGGATCTGGCGCCTCCACGATCGGCAAACCCCGGCCATTGCAACCACGCGCCTCGCTTGGCCTTTGCTCTGCTGCACCCTCTCCACCACGTTGGCCAGAAGCTCGGGAGCCAAATCCCCCCATGTCTCCAGGTCCTCGTCCTCCCGATCCAGGTCCTCGATCGTCGTCGTCGCCTCCATTCCTGTGCACCCTCTTGGATGGACCCAACCGGAGGAGAGCCCCGTCACTCTCCGCCGTTTAGGTGCCAACCAATGAATCCATCCCTACATTTGAGCCGCACCACCGGATCCCCTGACGGCCCCCTCCCACCAGATGAAGGGATGGCGAGCGCCGCAGTCCACCAGAAAACAAATGACTGCCCATCCTATATGAGGCCGAGCCCGTCCTGTATGACATGAGCATGAGTTAACAAAGTTGCAAAAAAGAATATATTTCCCCCCTGCCGGATCGCCGGGCCTTGAAGCTAGCATACCTTTCACCGGCTATTGCCGTAATGTGAAACGTGGCCAGACACACCCCGGAAAAAGCCAGCCGACCATAGCAAGAGCATGACACCACCACTGCAACTGAGGAGGAGATGATCACCCCCTTGTTTTTTATATTTGGTAGTGGAGCCCCGTCTCTGTCACTCGAATGGAAATCTTAACGAACACTGATGAGAGAGCAAGTCGAGAGCTCCTCGCTCCTCCTCCATCACAGCTGCTGCAACTGGGCTGGCAGCCGACAAAGTGGCTTGCCCCCACGCTTCCGTCGGCAGGCAAGTGAATCGAAGAGACAAGTGATCGACTTATCAATCACTCGAGCCGATTCCTCGAGTTGAGCCCCCACCAGCGCCATCTCTCTGCGGGAGCTTAGCTCGCGCAGCAGTTGACTCGCGGCGGCTGCTGTGCAAGTTTTCTCAGTGGACGGCTGGGGCCTGCTAGTGCTTGCGCTTTAGCTGTGGAAACAAATCGACACTGCGGAGCTTTTACCTCAGTGCATGCATTGCCGAGGGCAGAAGTGGCTCTAAAGTCACGCAAGGGACCGCATCGTTCCATGCTCGATTGGCGCGAATCTGGGAAGGGACAGCTGCTCAAAGCAAAAGAGAAAAGATATGCTTACGTTGATGCGACTGAGCATGGCCTTGGAGTTGGTCCAAGTTCCATCCATCAAAATGAAGTGAAGTGCACACGCAGCCTCCTCCTATAAAGCATTTCGAGTTATGCCCCCTCGACGTATCCTTCAGCTTTACCTCCGACCGCTTTGATGCTTCCTCCACAAACACGTCTGCAATTGGAATCTCGTCGACCCGGTATCCAGTTTCATCCCGTCCCGGATAGACACACCACACATTCTCGTGGCCTGTACACACAAGGCAAAGCTCAATAAGTGAGTGATACTTGTCTGGTCCATCTATCCACAAACCAGCCTGCTGAAGAGCGCTCCACATGGCATTCTCTTGCTGCTCCACGCCAAATATGCACAGCTTCACCGCCTCAAACCCAAAGGTTTGCCAGAGCAGCTTCCCGGTATTGTTCTTCCTCAGGAAATCCTGCACAGGAGAAGCACGAGTCACTTGAATCACGCCAAGTCAGCAGGCAGGCTCATACCAAATAGCACAGCATGCCCCCACACTCAAAGCTGAATCCTTTAACGAAGAGCGCGGAGAGAGTAAAAATACAGGACACGAAAGGAGCGACACTACCTTGGGATGCATGTAGAGCCAAAGCTTGATACCGCGCCACAGCGATCCCTTGACGATCTTGTTGCAGATGCAATCTTCCAGACGAGGCAGCCAGCACTAGAAATAGACAAAGCACCAAGAAAAAAAAAATTTACGGGCGAGAGAAAGATCGCATACCCCGTCACACAGGTAGCCATCGGCGCTCAGCAGCCGGCACGCAATCTGCCGGGCAGAGAAAAACTGCAGCTTCTGCTCCGAATCCGCAATGCTTCTATAAACAGCACGATGCCTTTTGTCCTCTTCGAGCTGCAAACAAATTCCAGTATTACTCGTCCACTCCACTCAAACCACTCAAACCACCTCGACTTTGAGAGGAGGGCCGAGAGACTCAATCTTGGTAGCCGTCTCCTCGACGAGCTTGACGAGCATGGCAGGCGGCGGCTCGCAATCCCCGGTGAGAGACTGCCATCTCCTGAGCAATGCCTCCTTGTGGCTGTGCATACCTCGAGCTGCGGCGACGCTCCTCCGCATAGCACATACAACCAGCTCTGTGTAGCCCTAAAAATGCGAGCGTATTATACTTAAGTAAAAGCTGTATCATGCAGTTTTTGCTTAATTTGACATGGCATCTTAACAAAGCAACATATAAACATGCAAGGGGTGGCAGCAAGCGTCAGATTTGGGACGGATTTCGGGCGGGTATGCGGCACTTCGTGTGTCGCTGAAGGTAAGCGGCACCACCCAGTTGGAGATAGATTCTCGAGTTGGATTGAGAGAGATCATAGGGCCTTTTCTCCGTTTGTAGGAGGGGCGGCGACGATGACGGACGCGGGGAGTCCCGCGAGCACAGACAGCCGCAACTCGGACGATGCCAACTGCAGCAGCATCCGGGAGCAGGACCGCTTCATGCCCATCGCCAACGTCATCCGGATCATGCGCAAGGTGCTGCCGGCGCACGCCAAGATCTCCGACGACGCCAAGGAGACGATCCAAGAGTGCGTGTCCGAGTTCATCAGCTTCATCACCAGCGAGGCCAACGACAAATGCCAGCGCGAGCAGCGCAAGACCATCACCGCCGAGGACCTCCTCTGGGCCATGAGCAAGCTCGGATTCGACGATTACGCCGACCCGCTCTCGCTCTTCCTCCACAAGTACCGGGAGATTGAAGGCGACCACAGGGGCTCCATACGAGGCGAGCCATCCTTGCTCGTCTCCACCAAGAAACCATCGTCGTCTTCATCCTCGCCCGCTCCCTCGGATCATCTCTACGCCGCCGGCCTCGGCTACTACAAAGACTCTTCCGCGGCACCACTGTCTTTCGTCCCGGATCCTTACGGCTACAAGTAGGAGTAGAAGAGAGCCCAAGTTTTCCAGAGAGCCAAGTTTTCCATCGGCCAAAAAACGCTTTAGGACTCCACCCGATCAAGTATTGTATGATGGTGATGACGACGATTTTATGATACATACAACCCCTCAAATGCTCGCCTCCGGTCGCCACATCTTCTTCTGAGCGGCCACAAACTGTTGCTGCTCCTCCTGGTCCTCCACCTCCTGTGACGACTTTCGTGAGGAGGAGAGCACCTTCACCTCCCAGTGCAACGACTTGACGATCGGTTCTAGTTCCTTCAAAACTTCTGGCTTGTCTCTGATTAGAGCCCAGCCTTCCGGCCTCAAAATTCTATCCATCTCCAACAAAACATGACTGGCGTTACAGCTGCAAGAAGAAGCCACACTGCTGTTAGAAGGAAGAAAGCCAAAAGAGGAAGAAAACGAAAGAACGAGGAACTTGCAAGAAGAAACGAAACGGATTACCTTGTTCCCAGCTGCGAGAACAAACCGTCCGCGTGGAGGAGGTCGTAGGTTCTCGGATACGTGCTAAAGGACTCACACCAATCGTGGTAAATCCCGAAAAGACCTCGATCAAAAACAATCGGTAGCGTATCCTCGCCATTTGCAGGAACCACGTTCATCACCCACACTGGCAGAGTAGCCAAGGCAGCTGCAAACCTGCAGGAGAGAAACTTAAAAACGCTTACAAAGAAAGAGAGAAAGGTCGAAGGAGACTATACCCGCCATAACCCGCTCTCATATCCATTACGTTCCGTATCCCATCCCAGTCGATTCCAACGTTCTTCTCGTACGAGTTGCGAACAACACCCTTCCAATGCTCCGTCTCGGAAGCAAACTCCTCTGCAGACGGACCGTGGAGAGATTTTGGAGTGGCTTCCAGCCGCCCTGGCCACGCGTCAGGCCAGTCTACACGAGCTTTTCCAATTTCATGCATGCACCCTCCAAGAGGATTATACCTGTCGTGGTGCAGTTCGGATAAGGTTACTACCAGGAGTAGCAGGAAATAGAAAAGAGCATACCATGCAGCATCAGGGGAGTCCTCCTTCTCACAGATTGGAGGCTCACTGGCAGATCGTTGACGGTAGCATGTATCATCCCACGGCTTTTGAAATACTGCTACCCCGATACCAGTCAGAGGATCTTTTGTTCTAGCCAGCCTCTTCCAGCACATTTTCGATGCCGCGCTAGTCGTCTCTGTAATACTCGCAGCCACGGGTTAGAAGAAGCGAGAGTCGCACAGAAACAAGCACCTTTCCATATCTGAACGTCCTCAGGCTCGTGTTGATAGACAGGGGTGGCGGACCAGATGAAATAGCCTCCGGGGCGAAGAACCCTGTTGAGCTCCAACAACAGCTTGGCGCCTGAAATGCCGAGTTGGATTTCATGCCCGAGAGTCAAGACGTGCTAACCTTCAACATGCCATGGTACTCTGCAGCGAGCACAGTGTACTGCATCGTAAACATTGCTAGGAAAAGGAAGCCGCGTTGTTCCCATCACCGCTGAGATTGCGGGGATTCCACGCTCCAGCGCAAACTGGACCTGCGCTTCGTGCTCGTCCTTGGGAGCGAAAGACATGGTAAGCACGTCCTTGTCAAACAGGTAACCCCCAAAGCTAGCCACACCGCAACCAACATCCAGAACAACACGAGTGTGCGTTCCCCAGGCAATGGCTGGCAGAGTCTGCACGACAATCATCTTCAGCTGGCACCGTCAGCACGATATATCGAGCGTACCTTCTCCACAAACTCGATATATCGCGTCGCGCCCTTCTTGAACTGTGTCCCTCCGCCGGGGAAGACAAGCACGTCATCCTTGCGCATCACCCACTGCTGGTCAGCTTTGTACGAGACTAGACCCGTGTGTGGAACATTGTAATACCAGATCTGCAACCAAACAACTCTATAAGACTGTAGAGGTAGCGTAAGAAACAAAGAGCTGGTTACCTCGCTTCTGCTCCTGGGCCAAGGAATGCGAGGCCTGTAGCCGTCCGGAAGCGGCACTAGACACAAGCGGCTCCCCTCGTCAAGGGGGCAGTGCCTCTCCCTGTGCTCGTAGTGCTTGGTGCTCTTGAGGCTCTTGATGGCCCTGACGTTGTCCAGGCATGGGATATAGTCGGATCCAGCAGCGGACGAGCACAGCTTCCAGTCGTAGTGTGGGATTTCCAAGGAGCCACTGTCTAGCCTCTGGTTTTCTTCCTTCTCCTCTTGTGATTCCTCGGCTTGAGTGGCCAAGTTGCCGTCGATCTCCTTGTTCTCCACTGTGAGCTCGGCATCCCCGTCGGAGTGAGCTGCCTCCTCAGCTTCCCTGTCCGACCCCCTGGATTCCGGATCTGACGCTTCCGAGTCGCCATCAATCCTGGAATCCTCAAAGACTTGTGTGTCAATTTTCGCCCCCGAAACGGCCACCTTGTTGAGGAGAGGTGGTCCAGATCTATGCGTGGCTACGCGCTGGGGCGTGGCGGGAGCAAGCAGCATCCAGGCGGCCACGAGCGCGAAGCTGACGCCAATGCAGATCGCCGCTGGGACGACGGGGGAGCGCCTGTCGGCGCGCTGCTGCTTGGCCATGTCGCGCGCATATCAATCTGTGTAGCCCAGCGTACCTCTTTCTCAGCTGCGCAGAGCAAATCTAGGGCAGTGCCTCAGTGGGATCACTGCTTAAATACATCGCATTGCTTAATGTGCCACACTTATTAATCTGTGAAGTTTGGAGCAACGGACTGCCCTTGACGGGCCGAGGGGGATGGCTCGACGTGCTTGGCCGGAGCAACGTGAGGCTTGGTCAGCTGCGCCGGAAGCTTGGCGATGCCCTCCAAGTAGAAGGTGTAGAAGAGCTTGGTCGGGAAGATGATCTGCTGCAGCTTCACCTGGCCGCGAGCCCCGTTGAAGATGCCACTCCCGCCGGTGATCGCCATGTACGTATCCTGGTACGTGATGTAGGCCCCCTGATTCCAGCCCTCCATCACAACCCATATTCATCCGGAAGAGGGATCTATACCTGAACGGAGATGTGGCCGTAGTCCCCGAAGTAGAAGCTGTAGGTGGCCTCGTATCGATCTCCTTTGCCAGGAACGTGTTTGATGAGCACACACAGGCCAGCAGTGATCCCCAGCCGCGTCTCCAAGCAACCATCGTAGAGCTGCCATGGGCATCATCAAGAGCGAGGCAAAGTTCGTGTAGCGGGCTTACTTTGTTGGAGAAAGGAACCAGGTCGCCCAGCGCATTGGTTGGCTTGGCTTTGTCCCCCTTGAGAAGCACGGGGCTGCCCCTGTCCAGCTCGTTGATCTCGTACACGGACAGGGTTTGCACCTCACGCGGCTGCTGCGCTGCGGCCAATCCATCCGACACACAGACATAATCGGACAAGAGAGCTTAAGTTCTTACCTTTGTCCCGAGAGAAGCTCCCGAAGAAGCACTTGGGTGAGGGGACAATGGCAGCTGATCTCGCCGTCAAGGGAACCAAGCGGATCCAAGAGGATGCAAGGCGATTGGGCGTGCAGAAAGACGAGCGGAGCAAGGTGGCCTTGCAAGCATTCGCGTTGTGGTCCCCTGTTGCCGCTCCCAGCCCCAATGGCGCCAGGGAACTTGCCATGCTGCTAGCTAGTGCTGTGATGCGGGCAAACTCCAAATGGATTGGAACTCTTTGGGCCAACAACAGTGATCGTGCTTGGCCAAACAACAGCGACCGTGCTTGCCAGACAGGACCACGTGTTACTAGTGGTCGTCCAGCTCATCCATCCAGTAGGGCTAGCTCAGTACGCTAGGGCGATAGAATGATCCACCAGCTCGCCCTCCTCGTTGGTGCGCTCTCCTTCTTCCACAGCTCCGAGTTCGCCCTCGCGTTGCTCATCCATGGCCGCCATCACGTCTCCTGGAAGTGTAAGATTCCCTTGTTTCGCAAGCACGTTGACTTAGTAGACAGGCAGCGTTCCTCTTTAGCCGCGACTACCTCGTGGCCATGGCTGCGGGCGTTCTGGAGCATCTTGCGGAGAGCTTGGTGGTTCCAGGAATCAAGGAGCACCCGTGGATCAGCAACGCGGGCCTCGCTCTCGTGGTCGCGGGGGAGATGATTCGCAAGGCGGGAATTCTAACCGCGTGGAATGGCTTCACTCACGACATCAAGACTCACCGCCATGACAATCACATCCTCGTCACGCACGGGATGTACAGGTGCGTGATCGAAGAATTCATGCCGCCGCGCCCGTCTCACTGACCTGCGCTCCAGCTTCCTTCGCCATCCTGGCTATGCCGGCTTCTTTCTGTGGTCCGTGGGAACACAGGTGATGATGCTCAACCCCTTGTGCACCATCGCCTACGCGATTGTCACCTGGAGATTCTTTCACTCTCGCATTGCGTATGTTGCCTCCTTGTTACTCTTTTCCTTCATAACACTACCTGTCGTCAGCTGCGAGGAGTACTTTCTCCGCCGCTTCTTTGGATCCCAGTACGAAGATTACGCTCGGCGTGTTCCATCGGGAATCCCCTTCATCAAATAGCTACGAGATCGATTGGCTTCTAGTTACCGCAGACAGAACATCCAGCCACCCCTCCAGAATTCTGGGAACTTCGCACGGACTTTCTGTGGGTCTGGCATAACCGCAAACTAATATCAGTACGGGCAAGAGACTTGAGCTACTCGTAGGTTCGTCGTCACCTTGGAAGAAACTCCCGTCCAGCAACCAGGACGACGTCGCAGACTTGTTCCACAAAATCCTCCAAAGACGGGACTGCAGTATTGACCATAAGCAAGCTTTCGACTGCACCCTGGCTCACGCAAGAGAGGGAATATCAGTGGTGGAAGCATATCAAGCGGAGTGTTCTCACCGCCAACTGAGCGGCACTCCCAACCTGCAGCTTGTCGCAAAGCTGCTCTAACAAGGTGGTGGCTTGGCTGTGATTTTTCCCACCACAACGGTCCGTAATCTGCACGAGGTGGAACTTCGAGAGTGTTTGAAGCAATGCATCGGGCATACATACATCGTGCTGTCGGGTGGCGGCAGCGTTGTTCTCCTTGTGCTGGAGCTCGTGACACAGCGAAGTCACTTGGGAGCGCAAGTCGCCCAGCTCCCAGGCCATTGTCGCCTTTTGCTTCTCATAAATGCCCACCTGTGGTCTCATCAGCAAGCAGGGAGAGTCGAACCACAAAAACTGAAAGTCGGCTTTACCAGCTGTAACGGCTTCAGGTCTCGGGACAGGAGATTCCAGTCGAGACCACCGCTTGCTCCTCGTGCCTGGCGTGCTCGCATGACCTTGTTCTTAATGTTTCTGTAGCACTCGACATCCTTTGACCGCTGGCTCTCCTCCTGCTTGCATGACCGCCGACCATGGATTTAATCAATGTCTCCGGATCCATGACATAGAGAGAAAGCTATGGCCACCTTTTCAATCGATTCCAGCAGCCTCGTCTGGTACTTGCGAGCGTCCCGTTCTTTAGACCGGCAGTTGTGTTCCAGTTGGCTGCTCCAAAGGAAAGAAACTATCGAGTTGATCAACGCACCATGACATACCTACAGCGCTGTTGGAGGTTTGAGTTGGTGGCCTCGAGGGACTGGAGCTCCCTCCGAAACCTTGAGGCAGCCTTGGCGGCTGCAGACAGAGCTGCCTGCGACCGTTGCTCCGATGACGCCAACTTCTTCTTCCACAGTTGCAGTTCGCCATCCTGCCGTACCAAGAGAAGGTTGCTCTGCTCCTCTTGTCTGCGACTCCTCTCCGCCTCCTCTAAAAGCTCCTGCAGGGAAACGCTAAGGGACATGCGGGGAACATTTTGTGAACCTGAATAAAGCTCTCTCTTCGTACGTATTCCCGGGCGAGGTCTACTACAGTTCCGAGCAGCTGCTCCCCGGAAAGCGGTTTTGTGATTGGAGGGAAACCCGCACCCGCGAGTAGAGTGTTGGCGACGGGGAGCAGATTACAATCCGACGATTGGCCGCGGTTGAAGGGGACGTCTGTGGCAGCGCTGCTGTCGCTGCTACTACATGTGTGGGCAGCCGCTAGCACGGAAGTTGGCGAGGCTGGCCTATTATATGAAACATCTGCGACTGGGCTACTGGTGGTGCGCTCGAGGCGCGAGACAGCAGCAGCCGGGCCTGGGGAAAGAATCTTGTGTGTACGGCTGGCAAAGGTAGCAGTGATACCTTGGGCCGCAGCCGATTCCTGGCAATCATTATATCCTTCGGTCGTACTGCTGGTACTGCATTCAAGAACGCAGGGCAGCACAGGATCTTGGCTCGGGGCCATGCCAGCATCATCCCGAACGTAGTGGTCGTCGTCGTCGTGCTGCTTCTTGACGGAGGAGGTTACCCAACGATGTTCTTGATCCTCTTGACTCTCGGACTGGCTCTGCTGCTGTTGCAATCCATACCTCTCTGCGAGCGAACGAACAAAGATCTCCCATTCCTCCATGGCTGCTTCGCTTCGCTGCCGACCTAGCTGAGCTGAGCCGATGAGCTACCACTTTCTTGCTTCCATTCTTGTTGCAAAGAAGCGGGAAAGAGCGATGCCACGTGGCGCGGGGACCGGTGGACAACGTCATAGTAGAGGACGTGCAAAGTGTTTAATGCAATGCTTCCTCTTCTTCTATCCACCGTTGTGATGGAGAGGAACAATTCTCGATTTTTTAAAGGATTTGCAAGTCGAGCAGCACTCCGCGCAGCAGCAGCAGCACCACCACCACCACACGAATGAAGAGCAATTGCGTTGAGAGCTATGTGGCGCCGTCGCCGTAGCAAGGATTGAGGTAGCGTTCACGACTCACGAGTCCCGGCTGAAGAGAAGTTTTCCATTTTGTGCGAATAATCCCGTCGCTCTCGGTTGCAATTGCGATTCCGTGTTTCCGTGGCCGCCCCTTCTCAATCTCCGCGCCCTCATTGATGCTGATGGTGTTTCCGCAGATTCTTTCCAGGAAGAAAGAGGCGTAGGTAATCAGCATCCGAATCAAAAGCGACACTTGACACACACGCGCTTGATGCTTCCCATCTCACCTGGACGTTCTGTGGTTTAAATTCACCTGCCTAGAAGACTTGAGAGACGCGCGCGAGAGGCTGGACGAGGGTTGCTGCTTGTTCTTTTAGACTATCTATTTCCTAGTAGCTGCTCCTCCTTCCATTCTTCTTTTTGGTTGTGGAGCAAGGGCGTCTTGTCTTGCTGTTGGTCCTAGCCTAGCATCCCCTAGCAGGAGTGACTACATAGCTCTCTCCCTTCTCTCCCTTCAAGCTCCTCTTCACCTTTCTTGAAACAAGAAACGTTTAGACTTGCTTTCTCTTTCTTTTTTGCTGCGGGCCAAACACATATATCGATCGATCAGTTTTGCCGGCTTTGCATTTCTGGAGATTGCGTGTGTGCGCGGCGTGAGCAACATATAACATCATGTCGGGCGTGTGGGTGTTCAAGAATGGAGTGGCGAGATTAGTCTCCAATCCGCTCATGGAGCCGATCGACAGCGGCGAGCGCGGAATTCTTCGCAAGAAAGTGCTGGTGCATGTCCCCAGCAACCAGATCATCTCCTCCTACGCGCACCTCGAGGCCAAACTCTTGGATCTTGGGTGGGAGCGCTACCCCTACGAAGAGCCCGATCTTATCCAGTTCCACAAGATCTCCTCGGTCGACCTCATCTCTCTGCCCGCAGACTTCACCAGGTTCAAGACCATCCACATGTACGACATTGTTGTCAAGAACAGATCCTTCTTTGAAGTACGGGACTTCTCATGTACTTAAAAATTCGCTCCCTTCCCCCACCAAGACAAAGAAGAAAAATACAAACCATGATAATAAAATGTTGCTCCCATTCTGTTTAGATGGTAGCTTTCTGAGACAGGTAGTGTTCTAGCATGTCGTCCTCGTCCAAGTCTAGAGCCAAAACAGCCAGCCATTTAAAAACCAAATCTGAAAATCTCGAGCGAATTCCCCGTACCTTCGTCATCGTAATCGGCATCGAAGTCAATGTCCTCTTCTGCCTCCTCTTCGCTCGATTCAGCCACGGGTTTGCCAACTCTCTGCATCTCAAAGGCACTGTCACTAAGCCACCCTCCCAAGCCCAAGGAGGAGAATACGTTTACCACAGCTGAAGCTCGACCACTTTCAAACCAGGCCCTCCCGCTCAGCCGCTTGTCCTTGGTGGTGGTGAGAGCCGACTCGGGCATCAACCTGGAACATGAAAAGTGATTCTAGACACCGGAAACGAGCACAGACAACCAATACCTGGCTCTCTCAAGGGCTAGCTCGGCCTCAAATCTTTCTCTCCATGCCACAAACGTTTCGACAGTTACCACCTCCCCATGCGGCTCCACGACCTTCAAAGAATCATGCTGGTGTTAGAATTCAGCTGATAAGATCTATTCAACCTCGTCTATTCCAGGTGCCTCTTCTTCATCTTCCCCGCTCCCTTCGTCTTCTTGAGCAAACCTTAGAGACAGCCATTCCTTTGCTGAAGTAGCCAGTGTGTACATCATGGCCATTCCGAGGTTCTCCGTGGCCTGCAAAACCCGGATTGTCAAGCCAGCGATTCCACACTCTGGATGACAGCATGCAAACCTCTGCTTGGAGCTTTTGTTTGAGCTCTTTAGCTTCGCTGTCCCTGACGCCCTTGCCACTGCCACAAAAGTGTCGTTACACAGGAATTGGAGAACTCAGTATGCAGCTCACCCACGGACATCCAAAAGGGGTGGCTCGTCAGGATAGTTTGGTGTGTGTGCAAAGATTAGATTTACCTGAGCTGCACCACAGAAGTTAAAAGGAAAAATCTCATTTATTGATTCAAGAACTGACCAGTCTCCCCCTCATCCTGCACAGAGATTCATATATCTAAAAATCAAGAGCCTAAACGAGCAGGAAAGCGCACCCATACCTCCGATGTTATTTTGATCTGGTACGACGGACTTTGAGTGTCAAGCCCGTCCGTCTCTAACACTGCAATTGTACTAAGTAGTGAACATAAAAGAACATGCTCATCCTCGAAAACAATACCTTGAATATCATCCATGAGAATGGCTTGCAGCGCCTCAACCTCCATTTCCTGTTCTTGAGCGTAATCTGCGACAGATCAAAGCTGCTGGGTGAGCTCCAACCTACTCCCATCGCCTTACCCATCGATCGCTAGCTCTGGGGCAGCCAAAACAAATTAGGGTTTTTGGTATTCATGGTTTTTGAAGAAATCACTCGATCCGCTTCTTGGCGAAGGGATACGTGTAGGGCATGAGGCGCGCTAGCACAATCAACGGGATGATGAGGTAGGGCACGTAAATGCTGAAGAGCTGGAACTTCGTTGGGGCTTGAGAGCACAGAATATCGAACAAGATTGGTATCTGTCGACCAAGGAGCCAAATTACATAGCCAAAGTGGATCCAAACTTACCATTGTTGTGGCTGTGTGAACTCCATAGATAATGCCCGTGGTTCTCCCCCAAGGCTTTCCTGGAGGCCACGGTGAGAGAGAGAGAGATGAATGCTCGATTTACCGTAGTAGAAGGCAATGGCGTTGGCAATGTAGAGTGGGAGCTGCACGAAGATCTCGCAGAACACAAGGCCAAGGAAGAATGGGGGCTTGTCGCGCATGAGGTAGTCACCGGACGTACGGATGTGCCACCGGACGAGCGCCTGGATCGCGGCCGGGAAGCAAGACATGGGCAGTACGGCCGTGGAGTCCAGAAACAGGACGAGGGGCACGTTGAGCGCGAAGAAGATCGCCAACCCGACATCCAGCGCCCGGCTTCCTCTACACTTCCTCATCTCAGACCTAAAATTCTCCTGCACGTTGTTGTTTATAAAAGTCAATCCATCTCGAAATCCGAGGTTGCGTTTGATCCTGGAACATGGCTTGTTCTATTGCTCACAATGCGCAAAACAAGGGGGGAGGGCAATCTGTTGGTGCCGGCGCCCAGATTCCATCACCGACGTGTGGAACAGATCCATTCCTTACGAATCAAGCCGACGGATCTTTTGTGGGGGAGGAAGACAAGAGAATGTCAAGATAGAACGGAGGTGGTGGATTAGATCGCGGGTTTTGTGATTGTTGAGTTGACTTTGTTGTTAAAGCTTACAACTAACCTTCCCTTCCGGCGTCAAGCTAGGTAGCGAAGCTGCGCCACGCGTCTCCGTTGTGCATCGTGGCCGTTGAGAACGAAATAAAGTCAAAATACATTCTCTTGTACGTTATAAATAAGATCGATTCGAGCTGTACGAAATCACACAGAGACCTTATACGCAATTTTGCAACACCTTGGCATTTCAATTCTGCTCTTTCTTTCAGCATATTACATCTATCTATTCCCACTTGTGCCAGTTGCAATGGCCGACTGCAACAAGGTACTTACAACATCCATATCTTTGTCTTCCCTCCTCCTAACGAGATTCGATTCGTCTATTTGTATCAGTCATCAATTGAAGCCTGGGAGTATAATCCCGGGGACGAAGAGAACTCCAAGCTTCCTCACAAGTTCTCGCCCAATCGTCCAGTGCCGCTTTCTCACGTTCACAGTCAGTAGACAAATCCTTCTTTTGTTCTTAGCTTTAAACTTGTCATACACACACAGGTCTTGGCGTTTTAACATGGAAGCTAGACGCCGACAACTGGGAGAGCGACCCCAAACTAGAAGAGATTAAAGTCGAGCGAGGATATAACTACTGGGTGAGATGACAGACGCTCAAGTGGAAGGATGAAATCGTTTCTCATAATTTCTTGCCGTCCTGGGACAGGAAAAGATCACTGTATCTCGGGAAGCTATGGCTGACTTTGATGCTCGAGTCGGGGGATTCTTTCAAGAACACATGCATTCTCAAGAGGAGATACGGCTCATCCTTGACGGAAGTGGTACATGCCCGATTTAAACATTTTTTGAAGTTTTGAATTGCTTAAATGCCGCTGCCTCAGGCTACTGGGACATTCGGGACTATGATGACAAATGGGTGCGTTTCCGTGTCCAGAAAGGAGATCTGGTAGTGCTACCGCCAGGCATGTATCACCGCTTCACGCTCGACACAGGCGATTACATTGAGGTTCGTACGTTGGGGTTTTGCTTCACTAACACTTCACAACGAATGTTCTTTTCAATGAGCCAGGCCCTGCTCCTCTACACTGAGGTGCCAGAGAGAACTCAGCACCAACGAGCCGAGGACAGCATTGCCCGCAAGAATTACGTCAAGCAATTCCTCGACGTCCATACGTTGCAAATCGAAGCGCAGTGATCGTGGCCCTGCCAGGAACATGGAGAATTTTGCTTGGAGCTGGAGATGATTTGGAGTATATAATTGTTTTCGCTTGCTTGCTACTTGTAAAACGGGGAGAAGAGCTCTGTGAATACTTTGTGTGCTCCCCCGTCACTGCCATTAATCTTCGAAAGTAAACTATTTTCCGCCGAAATTCCTCGTCGTGTAGCGCGTTGTGCCCGAGTCTCCATCGATGTAATGTTACGAACGTGGAGATTTCCAAAAGTCAACCCCACGCTCACAACAAAATGATATCAAGAGGTCCAAAGTCCACGGCGAGGAACAGTAGCTTGGATGGCCCAGTCAAAGCTAAGGGTGTAATGAATCACTGAACGGAGTCGTGAGCGTTATGTACAAATTCCACCTTCAAACTCAAGTTGAGGCAGCATGCAGCTTCTCCTTCCTCTTTTCCCTACGAGAGACTATCTCCGCTGCCCACGCTTTGCCAATATCGGTCTGAAACTTGCCTGCGCCCCACAAGGTTTTAGAAGAACTTGTCGACAATGATCTCGGACGCTATAGCACACTCACCAGCAGTTGACATAAAAAAGTCATCCAACTCCTTGTCTTGAGCTGCGAGTGACAGGGAAGGCAATTGAATCATCACTTACGACTGATTCCTAACGCTTACGTACCGCTCTCGTATTCCAAAGCTTGGAGAATCATCTCGACCTGCTTCGTGTTATAACCCAGGAAGGTAATAGTAGTGGATCACGTGAGACGAGATAAACTCACCTTGTCTAGATCCTTGACAAGCTTCGCCTCAGGCGACAGGTTAGATTCGTATTCGTTCCAGAGCTCTCTGATCTCACTGGCTGCCATAAACAATGAGCCGGGGGTTAGTTAGCCATGGCTAGCGTGAGCACGAACGTACCAGCACGGCCATTCTCGAGAATGTCACACATTTCATCTATGGCTGCTCTCTCTCGCCTGCTTTTCTCGTCCTTGGGAATGCCATCAGCTGGGGTGATATCACCCACAATAGCTGGAACAAGAGACATTGTAAGCGTCGTGAGCACCGGAAGCAAACGAAGTACTTGCCTTCAGCAATGTCATGCACCACCGCCATCTTGACGCACCTGCGTGTGGGGTTTTAGTGGAGGCACTGGGCTGGCGCACAGAGAAAGACGCACCTATCCTTGTCAATGCCTGGAATATCAGCGGCTATAAGAGCCATGATCGCCATACGATGCATATGATCCGCAATGGACTCGGCGTTCTTCACGTCGCGATTGAGCCATCCCGCCCTCTTGGTCGTCTGTGCTGTCCGGGCGATGGATTCGCCAAGCTGGTGGAGTACGCAAGAAAACAAGCGCTTACCTTGAGGCGCTGGCAGAGCGTAAGGAAGTGAATCACAGACGAGGGAGCCGGAGGGGCCGCCGAGCCGCCATTGTCACCCAGCGCCATCCTTGCTGTGGATGTGGTGGCCGAGAGGCGGAGGCCTTTCCGACAACAATGCGCAACACCTAATGCTACTGGCAACCGCTGCAGGGCGATGAAACCCATGGAGCTCGCGTGTGCCCTAAAAGCAAGCAGGCAATCAAGCCCTACATGGGCTGGGCGCTGCTCCTGGCCAAGAGGGCCGCCATTGGAGCCATGATCGGCATTGCAGTGTCGGATGAGCTAGTGAGTTTGGCGCGCATGCAGGGGAGCTCCATGGAGCCAACGCTGGTAGCCGGCAAGTCTCTCATGGAGGGCGATGTGTTGCTCCTCGACAAGTTCCCGGGCCATGATTTTGGATTCTCTCGAGGGGATGTTGTGGTTCTCAGGTAACAAAAAACGGAGAGGCAAATCAAGTATAACACGCTCTTGGTAAGGTCTCCCCACGAGCCGCAGTACTGGATGGTGAAGAGGCTGATTGCCGTGGAAGGCGACATGCTCAGGGTTCCAGGCAAGCGCGAGCTAGTTCAAGTGCCCAAGGGGCGCTGCTGGGTGGAAGGGGACAATGCCAATGTGAGCTTGGACTCGAGAAACATGGGGCCGGTACGTAAGTTTTGCATCATCCACGGCAGATCACCTTCCTTGATCACACTCGTTTGCAGATCCCAATGGCACTGCTCAAAGCGAGGGTGACTCGTGTCGTGTGGCCGCTAGAGAGATTTGGTAGAGTTGAAAGCATCCTTCCCACCGGACGCATCGTTGCTCACGGTGAACGCCCCATAAGATAGCCTAGCAGCCCGAGGAGAAGAGAAAAAGAAAACGTATGGTTATCTTCAAGCTATGGTTTTGTCTATATACACCAAACATGTTCTTTCGTGTGTAGGAGACGAGATGAGACGAGACAAGGCAGTCCAACACTAGGCAACATCCACTTTGAAACTCGTCTCTTGGCTTGTCACGACAATGCCTTCGAGGGTTACGGGGAGTAGAAGACGAGGCCATTGGCACCCCGTGGACACCGCATCCGGGGGTGGGATTATCATGACAACGTTGTCGTTCCGCTGTACCACCCCCATCACCGTCACACTGCTACCCTCCTTGATATATCTGTCCGCGCAAGAGAGAAATGGATGAGCCAATCAGAGTCGGGGCTGGCCAAGTCACTCACCCCTCGGTCAATCGCATCCTCCGGTCGTCCCTCGACAAGTTGCGCTCCGTCAGCCATTGTGTGAAGTCGGACGGCACGCTGTGGTTCCCCGCTGGTACCTCGACAATCTTGCTCTCCTCCACGTATGGCGACACGCGCGCACTGTAGCCGGCTTTCACCAAGGCTCTAAACCCGGAGTTGAAGTCGGAGATGTAGAAGTCGACAATGTGTCTCTGTTTGGGAAGGCCGGCTGAGAGAATGCGATGCCTGGTAAGCTAAAAGCCTTACCTCGAGGTGGCGCAGTCCCCAGGTGAAACGCTGGTGCTTGTCGTTGGCAGGCTTGGAGTGCCACGCCCTGTACTCGTGAAGGCTCGCAGACGTGTAGATGCAACGGTTGACCTTCTGAAATGGAGACTCGAGGTGAACACTTCCACAGGTGACCACCTGCAATGCAACAACAAGTCTCAATTCATGCAGCCAGCGAGGATGTTCGGATGAGATGAGAGCTTACTCCTGTGACTTTGACGTACTGGCCGTCTTTTGCGGTTGCGAGCTGCGCGTCTGGATGCTTGTCTGCAAAGGAAAGAACGGCCTTTTTACCCCACAGGGTGTTCCACAGCAGCAGGAGCAGCACTGCCACGAAGAGGCAGGTTATGATAATAAGCAGGACCGGGTTCTTGACAGCCGCGAGGATGAAAGCTCCGGCGATGAATCCCATGACAAAGAGTGGAATGACGGTCCACAGGATGGCCCTGGGGATGTTCTTGCTGTATGAGTAGTGCTTGTCGTGGCTGAGGTTGTTGACGGCCTGGCTGCCGGTATTTGCTGCCAACTTGAAGGATGCACCAGCGTCTCCTCCAAGGGGCCCCGACACCTTTCGGGGAGCGCCAGTGGACGTGATGAGGCCTGTGGCGGGAAGATTGATCGGGCCGGATGTTTTCAGAGGGTTGGGGATGGGACCCGAGGTCTTGAGGTTAGGCGTGGACGACAGGTTGCCGGATCTGGAGCCGGTGCCGCCGGTGAGAGGACCCGAGTTGGACTGTTGAGAGTTTTGCCTGGGCATGCCAGCGGAATTGAGCGGGCCGGAGGTGGAGAATGCAGATCTGGGAGGCCCTGTAGGGGTGCCCCCAGTAGCGGTGCTGCTCCCCCGGAACGATCCACCGGAGGCTATCGGGCCAGATTTTTTGGATTTGGAGGCCTCGACGGCAATGTCAAACATTTTGCCGAGCTCGCCAGATTTTTTGACATCGCCTCCAGTGTACGGCATTGCGGAGGACGTCATGGTTGGGGCCTTCTCCTTGTGCTGGTCGGGACGACCTGAGACGTAGAGGCCATTGCTGAGCTGATGAGAGGGGAAGTTGGTTACTGGTATGTTGGCCATGAAAACACTGGGACAAGATGGAATTCGGGGATGGGAATCGAGAAGCGCTACAAACCCCAGCTCTCTATCTATGCTCTAGTGCTGCTGCTACCTGCATTTGGCTGCCCCTTTGTCTTGTTGAGCCACCAGATTCGTATTTGGTTGCGACAGTGCATGCAATGTGGCCTCGGCAACGCATGCTGCTCTCCTGATCCGGATGACCTAAGCCCCAGCGTACCTGGGAATTGGGCACGCGAGCTCTGGATCTGGTGGACAAGCTTGCCCTTCCTGAAGACCCTTTGTGCGGTGCCAAGCGCGCTCTCGCTTTTGTCACCACCTCTCACTGTTGCTCTTTCCCAACAAAAGGCGTGAGAGACAGCACACCAGCCCAACAGCAACAAGTGACTACCAGAGAGGTGAAAAAGAGAGAGGAATATGCCCAGTCAAAGCTAAACCCCCTTGGGCGCTAGGGCTTTTGAGCGCCAATGTCGTCTACCGCTGCTGGCGCCGCGAGCCTGGCGGCCGCCGCCGTCGACAAGCCATGGAGGAGGCAAGCGGCGGTGGTGTGTGGGTGTGGGAGCAAGGCCGATGTAGCCACTCTGGGCAACCTGTGTGTGGACATCGTCCTCGATGTGCCCTGCCTTCCGCCATCCAACCCAGCTGCCAAGCTCAAATTCCTGCGTCACCTCGAGTCCTGCCCGCCCGACGAGGTTTGTGCTTGTATTGGCTCTGATCACATCACAGCATGCGTGACATAGCGAGCAGAGTGCGTGGGAGGCCGGTGGCATTTGCAACTTCACCATTGCGGCAGCCAGGTTGGGCCTCGAGTGCGTGACCATCGGCCACATTGGAAGCGAGCCCTTTGGCAAGTTTTTGAGCAGGATCCTGGACAAGGAGGGCGTGGACGTGGCCAGGATCAGCGCAGACGTGACCTCCGACTTTGATGGCAGCACGCTAGTCTGTTGGGTGCTCGTGGACCCCGAGCACCAGCACGCGTTTTGTAGGTGAGCCTCTATTCTAGTTGCTCTTTGTTGTCACTCGCTAAACTGCAATCGCCAGCCGGTTCGACTTCAACAAGGCTCCAGTGCTGGACAAGATGCACAAGCTGCCCCCCAAAGCGGAGTCCGTCATACAAAACTCGAAAGCGCTCCATTTCAATGGCTTCGCCTTCGACGAGCTGCTGCCTTCCGCTATCCTCTCGGCGGTGGACTGCGCTCACGCGGCGGGCAACGCTGTCTTTTTCGATCCGGGCCCGAGAGGCGAGTCGCTGTTTAGACAGGATCGGAGCACGCTGGAACGAATTCTTACCCTCAGCGATGTGCTGCTTCTGACAGCCGACGAGGTGGTAACGTGATATTTGTATCATGTTGGAGGTGACGCAACCCGTCCTCTTGATGGTTTCAGGCTGCGACGCTGACCGGAATAGACGACCCCTACGCTGCTGCCACAGCTCTCCTGGACAATGGAATGCACACCAAATGGGTGATTGTGAAAATGGGAGCTCAAGGGTCGCTCATGGCGGATCGTCAAGGCTGCCACCACGTCCCAGGATTCAAGGTAGCTGCTCTGTATCCTTGCGCGCACCTTTGACATGCTGGTTTTGCATGCACAGGTTGACGTGATCGACACAGTGGGCTGTGGTGATAGCTTTGCGGCGGCGGCGGTGTTGGGCTACAATTGCGGCTTGCCTGCCACCACCACCCTGACGCTTGCAAATGCCGTGGGTGGCGCCACCGCCATGGGTGGCGGAGCTGGTCGCAATGTGGCCACCGTCTCAAAGGTTCACAGGGTGCTATCTGACTCCGACTTTGACGGTGACAATAATTCCCTGGCTAATCTTCTCCTCAGAAAGGACACGGCGTCTTTACTGGACAAGCTTGTTACGTGCTCCTGTAAACTTACCAAGTGAAGCTGCCACTAGTCTCGTGCGCGCAACAGTTTAGGTCTTTTGGAATTAGGGAGGGGCGATGGCGATGGCGATGGCGGTGCCTGCAGCGTTGGTGTTAATGGCCTTGGTGATGGCTGCAGCAGCTGACAAAGCCGATTCTGGTGGCCTCTGCTCCATTTTCTCTCCATCCCTCTTTTGTTAACGATTGTTCTTTCCCAATTGGCAAGGTTTGTTTTGCAAGGAGTGCTTGGACGTTGCCACCGACGCACAAGATTTCCTGGCGAGCCCTCACAATTTGGAGACTGTCGTCGACTTCGTCCAGGCTCATGGCTGTGCAAAGGTTCCCCTGGCATACAAAGACAAGGCAATGTTGTGCTTCACCTCTTGGCTTTCAATTATCTCAAAAGATTTGCTGTTGACAGTGCGACGAGATGTCTCAAGAATATGTCTCGGTTCTCTTCTCCACTTTACAAGACTACATGACTCCGCAAAAGATGTGTCTGGACACGGGCATATGCGCTGGGGGCAAACACCTGGAAATGTCTGCAACCAGTTGTTCCGCATGCCACTTCTTGGCAACAAAGGCTCTTGCCGCAGGTAACAGGCTGAGTCCAGAGGCCATCCGTGAAGAGCTCACTGCTGCATGCTCCAGCCATAAGTGGATCCAAGACAGGGTAAAGTTCCTCGTCTCGTCTTGTAGCAACATAACCTGAATGTCTTGTGGCAGTGCATGTCTGTGCTGGATCGTTTCGGTCCAGGGCTGCTCGGGTCCCCAGCTCATTTTTGCATGGAATCAGAGGTGTGCAAGGCGAATGGTGTGAAAGGTGTGGGACGCAACAACTGTGCGCTTTGTCGCTACCTAGCTCTGGAGATGAAGACGAAGCTGCAGGACCCCGAGACACAGGTAGTAACGAGCGTTTCCAGGCTATCGTCTTAAATGCTTTTGTGCTTTGATCGATCACCAACCAGGAGAAGCTGATTGAATTCCTGCTGGCCAACTGCCAGAAATTGCACAACCATGAGGATGAGGTAATGGCGGTTTTTAAAGGAGGCGAGTGTGACATGGTTGGTTTCTGTGCAGTGCAAGCTGCTGGTGCTGGAGTATGGGCCACAGGTGTTGGCAAATCTGGAAGCTGTGCTCGATGACGACGAGATCTGCGCCAAGATTGGAATGTGCCCGTCGACCTTGAGCTTGTCGTCGGCAATTTAACTTGATAAACTACTCGAGCGCGCCCCCCACGCACACGAGACTAGACTGTACATGGTTATATTTTAATTTTAGCTATCAATGGTTGGATCAACGAACGGCTCTCTTCCCGCTCACCACAATATTTCCAAGGGCTTTTCTTTTTCCCTGCTGCTTATATATCCCTCCCACACCAAAAAGGGGCGGCGCCTCGCGCTTCGTAACGCTCCTCCCTCGGCCCTCCTCCTTGACTCGATGCGCTGACAATGGTGCGGCGCCATGGCTGGCAGCTCCCTGCCCATGCGTTCCAGGTATGTGGCTCGTGGCGGCTGGAGATCTGCTCATGGGATCCTTTGCATTCCAGGTGGTTGCCATCACGCTCTTTTTCCTCCTCGCGATTGCATTCTATGTGTTTGTGGCTCCTTTCCTGGGCAGTAGCAGCCTGGAATACGCTTCAATCGCGCTCTACACCCCCGTGGTATGTGTATCCCCCTCGCATCTCTTGTGCTCGCGCGCTAACGCTCTTGCATCTAGGCCTTGGCGGTGTTTCTGCTCTACATTCGCTGCTCGGCCATCGATCCGTCCGACTCCGGGATCTTCACTGGTCACAAGGGCTTCCGCACATACGAGAAGAAGCACGTCCTGTCAGCGCTGCCCCTCTCCTCGCCCGGAGACAAGTTTTCGAGCGCTGAGGCAGGAGGTGGAGGGTGGATCCCCGAGCAGCCTGCGCCGCACTTTCTGGTGTGTGCATGCTTCGCTGCCGACGACGGCTGCAGGAGCAGCCCAAGCCCCGGCCCCGTGACCGACGAGGACATGCTCTTTTGCACCCTGTGCAATGCCGAGGTAATCGTCAGGACGAGCAATGTGTGCATGGCATTTACCATTGTTTCTACCTAGGTGCGCAAGTTCAGCAAGCATTGCAGGAGCTGTGACAAGTGCGTTGACGGCTTCGACCACCACTGTCGCGTAAGTAGGGTCGCTTGAGATTTAGAAGGACTCAGACAAACGGTGGTTTCCTCGTCTCAGTGGCTTAACAACTGCGTGGGGAAGAAGAACTACGTGACTTTTGTTTCGCTCATGGCTACCAGCCTCACCCTGGTTGGTACATGCATCCTTACACTCCGCATCCTGCCATCTCAAGCTCAATCGTTTGTGCAGCTTATGCTTGAGTGGGGCATGGGGACGGCCGTCTTAGTCCAGTGCTTTGTTAACAAGAGAGCCACTCAAGAGGAGATTGCAAGAAAGCTAGGCGACAGCTTCACCAGGGCCCCGTTTGCAGCTGTTGTGGTAACGTAGTGCACGTACCTGAGTCCATCTCTTTTTTGACTCTCTTTTTGCAAATGCAGCTCTGTTGCACACTTGTCTCTTTGCTAGCGTCTTTACCGCTCGGGGAGCTCTTCTTCTTCCATGTTATTTTAATCCGAAAGGTACTCCCCGTTGTTTACTCTCGGTCGTTTGGCTTTCCCTGAAACTTGTGGTTGGATCTTGCCAGGGAATTTCGACTTACGAGTATGTGGTAGCAATGAGGGCCCAAAGCGAGGGCCAAGGAGCTTCAAACGACGGTGAGGGTGCCAGTGCTCCTTCATCTCCCACCAGCTCAAACGCAACCGGCTTAAGCGTATCCAGCTCGTTGAATATGGGCCTGCAATACAGGGGTGCCTGGTGTACACCTCCCAGAATATTTGTGGACGAGGTATTTGATGACTTGCCGTTTGCACTTTGGACTGACGGGATAGTCTTTACCTTGTCAGGATGAGATTGTCCCACATTTGGGGCCTGGTAAGTTGTCCTCGACGCAAGATCCCGACACCGTCAGCTCCATTAGCAGGCGAGAGTCGAGGTCACAAAAACGCACTGTCAAGATCAGTGCGTGGAAGCTGGCCAAGCTAAACCCGGACGAGGCTGCCAAGGCGGTGCTGAAGGCGAGAGCAAGCTCGTCTACCTTACGCCCAGTAGCGGCAGCTGGTTCTCACCAAGACGTGAAGATATCAGAGACGGAGTATGGTACCAGCAGCAACGTGAGCACGAGAAGCAGCCTGAGCAACATTGAGATGTATGGGAGGAGGTATGCCCCGGGGCTTCCTTCCTCCAAGTTGAAGCTGGCTAAAGGCATAGGGAGCGGTTATAGCAGCCCGAGCTGTTCAATGAGTGGCTCGGGGCGGCTGAGCCCGCTCGTTAACGAGAAGAAGTGCAGCAGCAGAGAGAGGCAGTGGCTTACAAGCGACGGGTATGAAGCATCGGGTGGCGAGAGCGTGGATCGGACGAGTCACAACGCGACGATTCCCAGCATTGCTGCAACGGGCGCGGTAAGAGGAGTAGCCGACACCCTCAGGCCTGCATCCGACAAGCTCTTGTACAGCGGGTCATCGATATTCTACGGGGGCCCAATGGTGACGCCAAACACAGACAGGGCTAGAGAAGATGCGAGTGCTCCCACTTTCTTGGTTCAGCAGCAGCAGGATACAAGGCTGTTGACTCGGAGCAGCGTTGCACGCTCGCAGCAATCCCCAGTATTTGTTCCACGGCACTGATCAAAAGAACAATTATTTTGTTTTAGGTAATGCTCCTGCTATGTGAAACGAAGCAGAGGATATGGGGGGATGCTCCTTGGCCGTCTGGGAAAGCACAGGGTTGCGGGCTTGAGAGGAGCAGAAGGTAGATGTTGGGCTTCGTTTAGCTCTGGCACAGGCATTGCTGAGATCGGCGAGATCACAAACATTCTGTGTAATGGCGGCTTGAGTGTGGAAGACAAGCGGGCTGCACTAGGTAGCCTCAACTTGAGCCTTTCCAAGGGACTCGTTGCTCACATTGTCAAGAAGATCAAGGACGACGCCGGCGCCGCCTTCCTGTTTCTCAGATGGGCTGCAACTGCACAGGCAGAGGTGAGCTACAGCAGCTACGCCCGGGTGATTGTGGGCCTGGCCAAGGCTTGGCAGTTCGAGCAAATGTGGGATCTTATGGAGGAGATGGACAAGCGTGCTCATCTTCACATACCCGCCGGCATCTTCTCCACCGTGATCAAGTGCTATGGCCGAGCCGGCGATGTGAAAGGTGCAGTGGCCACCTTGAAGAGGATGAGCGATGACTTCTCGTGCACCCCAGTGGCGAGGACTTACGAGGCTCTCATCCGAGTTGTCATGGACGCAGGTCAATGCGACACCGCGCTGTCCGTTTACCGAGCTATGGTTGACACGACGCGGCTGTTTCCCACACATCGCATTTGCAAGGCCATTCTTGGTGGATTGGGCCTTGCTGGTGAGGTTGAATCGGCCACCACGTTCCTGGCCAGCCTCGACTGCATGGGCCTCATGCATGACGACAACACGAGCGCGAGGCTCCACAACGCGCTCATCCGAGGCTTTGTCGAGGCAGGGGAGGTGGAGGCCGCTCTTGGGACTTTCCTGACCATACGCGCCCAGGCCGACCGCGTCACCTACAACCTTGTGGCTCTGGGCTGCTGCAGATCAGGGAGGCTGGATACGTGTGTGGAGATATACCAGGAGATGAGGAGCAGAGGCTTCCGTGTCAGCCACCTCGCCTTCAACTCTCTGGTGTGCGGCCTGTGCAAAGCCGGGAGAACGGACGAGGCATGGGACGTACTGGGCAAGAGCAGGCCTTCAGCTTGCGCGGATGCTGTCACCTTGTCCACTGTTATCCACGCGTTGTGCTCAAGCGATTGCGACCGGGCGCTGGAGCTGATGCGGGCCATGCAAGCGCAGCGGGTTCCCCCGAACGTGGTCACCTACACCAGTGTCATTGACGGGCTTTGCAAGGCGGGCAGGCGTGATGCCGCCATGGTGCTACTCCAGCAAATGCAGGCAGCCGGCTGCAGCCCCAACACCGTCACATACAACTGCCTCATCCATAGCCTGTGCAAGGCCGGCAAGCTGGAAGACGCGTTCGCGCTCTTGAGAAGCATGCCCAGCAAAGGGTGCACACCCTCCATCAACAACAAGAATACGCTCGTGAGTGGGATATGCAAGCATGCAATCATGGAGCGGCAGCGCCGGGAGTTTGGAAAGCTTGGCCAGGCGCTCTTCTCCGAGGCCATGCAAGAGTCATGCTCGGTGGAGGAGGACACTCTGGCTCTGCTCTACACCTGCCTGGAGCACATGTTTGGGAGCAACGGGGATCGTCCAGACAAGCGCACCTACAGCATTGTCATCCACTTTCTGTGCAAGGCGGACAAAGTGCTGGAAGCCGCCCGGGTGTGGAGGGCGATGGTGAAGAGGCTTGGTCAGGCGGATGCGGTCACGTACAACAGCTTCCTCTATGGCCTGCTCAAGCTCAACAACCTGAGTGAAGCTGCAAGGCTGTTTAGCGAGATCGACAAGCCCACCCTTGTGAGCTACTCTCTCCTCGTACACGCCTACTTCAAGGCCGGAGACCTGAGCAAGGTCGAAGAAGTGTACCAAGCAGCAACAGGCCAGGGGCTGAGGCCGGATCTCGCCCTCTACAACATCGTGCTCCACGGCTTGTCCGGGGCCAAGCAGGAAGCTGGGGTGGCGCACTTGTGGGCCGAGATGTTAAACAACGGCGTCTCCCCTTCAGTGGCCACTTACACCATCCTCATTCACGCCCTCTGCCGTGACAATCGCCTGCAAGCAGCCCGGCAGATTATTGACAAGATGAAGGGCCAAGGCGTCCTGCCCGACGCCATTACGTACAACACGCTCCTTCACTGCTTGTGCAAGAACGAGCTCCTGGATGAAGCACACTTGCTTCTCCGCGAGATGAAGCAGCATTGCAGCTACACACCCGCAACCTGGAATATTGTCATTGACGGAATACTGGAGCAACGGGACCTGGGAGTTGCCCAACGCATTTTCTCGCAACTCATCAGAGACGGCTTCTTCCCAGCGCATTTGACTTATGACGCGTTCGTTGCCCGCGTGTTGCGTGGACAAGATGAAGTCCCTCCAGTAGCAACGAAGGGCCCGGAGGTGAAAAGGTCGGATGTCATCCTGTCCTTCGGGTATAGCCGCATAGTGGGGTTCTTCCTGGAATGAAACCACTCGCAGACTTGTGCCGGCTTGTAAGATTGTCTTTCTCACCGCGACCTCAATTGGACCATCACTTTATGCTAGCAATGAAGCTCTTCAACTGCCTCACTCGTGCTTGGTGCTTTAAGTCGTCGTCGTCATCGTTATCTGAGGCTTCAACGAGATGAATGCCCTTGCCCACCGGGGACGTGAGATCAATCACCTCCAGCCTACTAGCGTCATTCTGCTTGATGTGGTGGAAGGCGTCGATGATGGAAGGCGTCTCCCCGTCGTCTTTCACTTCCACCATTGTCTTCCAGTCGTCTTTTACCGCCATCTTGTTCATGCTTGTCTTCCCGTCTTCCACCGTCATCTTATTCAGCCTTCCACACAGGTCGCTGGTCACCAAATCATTTGGACGCCTTGTGCTCTTGCCGCCTTTGAGGGCCAACTTGGCCATGAACTCTGCGACCTTGGAGGGGTAGGCTCTGGGATGCAGCGCAGTGTTAGATTCTGATGAACAAACAAAACGGTGGCAATACCTCTGTACGAGTTCGGCACGAACAGCGCTACTAGGAATGTCAGGATTTCCAACCCATTTCACTTCGTAGTGATCCACGCCCCGAAGCTGCCGCTTCTTGACAATTTCTGAGATTTTGAATTGAAGTCCCGCCAAGTTTACCCCGGAACTGGCTGCTTGCATGGATGCCATCCTATGCACGTCTCGCTCAGCCAGTTTTGGAAGAATGTAATCATCTGCATCAAAGTTAGCAATACTAGACTGTCCTGTCAAGGAAGGATATCGTGGCTGACCTGTTTTCTCAAAAGACCAGTCGAATTCTTGCATGCATATTCTTCTGATGGTATCCATTTGGAGACGTCCACCCAGCAGCACGCTGCAACAGAAACCCGGCTCTCGTCTTTCTTTATCAGCATATTTACTTGCCTGTGTACAGCCTCAGATGTTTGGGCGTGGCATTTTGGATGGGTATAAGCAAATATGGCCTTGCAAGCCATGTTGTCGTCTTCAGAAAAACCATGAGCTGCTACACACGTCCAATGTCAAAGGCCACAAAGCAGTGCCTTGTTAGTAACTTTTACCGTCGCTAGCTACCGTCGAGTTTGCTTTGTCTTTGCATTTTAACGTCCTCTTAGCCAACGTTACGGGACCTTGACGGAGCATCTCTTCGAGAATTTTGTCTTCGCCAAACTTTTTGACTATCTGCTGGGCTTTCTCCTGTAAAATGAAACGAGTGGCATTCTAGACACTCTTAGGAAAACGGCTGCGTACCGGTCCCAACCCGTGCACGCCAGGAAAATAGTCGCATCCCAGCAGGATTCCGAGAGCAATCTGTGCGATGATCAGTTAGAAAAGAAATTAGCGTGGCATACCAGAGAGTTCCTGCCGTATCCAAATGCATTTCGGATCTTTGTCATGTCATATGCTACAACGTGGCTTTCACCTGCATAGAAAGTGAAGACTATCATTTTGAATGGAGCACCACCTAACCTGGCTTGAGACTTATATCCTTATACACGACTTTGGCACCAAAGAGGAGCGCGTCCGAGTCCGCGGTGAAACAAGCGTCCTGCGGGAGCGCGCATGTTTGTTTATACATTTTGGGAAGAACAAGACGGAGCAGCTTACGGCAAAGCCCATAGCATTGAGTGCCGCGCACTGAGCTTCAGCTTCCTCGAGGCTAGATAGGTGTTTGGAAGAATGAGCAACATATTTTCGAGAGCGAAAGAAGTACCTGACGAGGCATGGGATACCAAATGCGGTGGCTAGCGCCGTGGCGTCCTCCACCATGCGACCAAACTCTGAGCCCTTGTTACGCTTGAGCGGTAGGCCGGCAACCTGGTTGGGCATTTGCGTGACATACGACAGCAAGAGATGAAGGGACGCACAGACCTGTCTTTGCGGACGAAGAGGCTGGCGCGCCCTGGCGAGACGCTGCACATAGGTGCCAGCTTTGGCGGCGGGGACAGCTCCATCTGTGCCCGTGACCGTGAGGTTTAAAAGAAGTGTAGCCTGGGCAAGAGGCAGAGGCGCACACCAGTAACGAAGATGAGATGGCAGTTGAGGGCGAGGAGCGCCCGAATCCTGTGAAACAGGCCCCGTAGATGCGGCTTGTCCTTGACAGCGCCGCCATTCACCTTGTTGAGCTGGATGATCCAATATGACAGATCAATGCAGACGCCTTGTCCCCTGGGCAAGCATTTAGCGGCGGTGAGTAGAGCAACACAATCAGGGAGGGAGGGAGCAAGAAGGGCCTACACGAGCAAGTCGAGCGGGACCCGCTCCTTGGCGGGCTCCAATATCTCCCACAACTTGTGCACACCCATGGGTCAAAGCCCTAGGCTAGGTTGCGCGTTGTTCGTCATAGGGCAGGGCGGTAGAGCGGCATGGACATGGATGTGGAGGAGATGCAGTTCCTGGGCTTCTTTGGCTTCTTCAAGGAATCGTTCAAGCTGCTGGTGCGCCATGCCCGATTGATGGCCCGGTTTGCGCTGATTCTGGTGCTGCCGCTGTCTTTTGCGCTGCTGGGGCACACGCTCGTCACAGATCCGCTGCTCAACCGGATACGGCTCAACGAGGAGATGCTTGCGGTGGAGAGGAGCGAGGGCCACAGCGCCGCCGTCGTCCACACGCGGAGGGAGCTCTACTCGGAGCTTGGCAGGCTCGGCACCCTCCTGCTCGCCTACCTCGTCTTCGTGCTCGCCTTCTCGCTGCTGTCCACGGCGGCGGTGGTGTACAGCGTAGCATGCATATACGTGGACAAGAGCGTGACGGTGGCCAAGGTACTAGGCGTGGTGCCCCGGGTGTGGAAGCGGCTCATGGTAACCTTCTTGTGGGTGTTCCTCATCATGTTTGCGTACCACGTCACCTTCATCGTCTCCGTTGGGCTGCTGCTGGTGGCGCTGGGCAGCGTGCCCGCCCTCTTGCTCCCGCTGCTGCTGCTGCTGGCGCTCGCCTTCTTCGCCCTCCAGGTCTACCTCAACGTCATCTGGCACCTGGCCAGCGTCATCACGGTGCTGGAGGAGCACTATGGCATCGCGGCGCTCAAGAAAAGCGCCCGGGTGGTGAAGGGCAAGCGGATGGTCGGCTCATGCCTCGTCTTCACCCACATGGTCGCCTCGGGAATCATTGCGGCCCTGTTCCACGCCAGGGTGGTGAGCGCCAACTCGAGGCTGCCGTCGGCTGGGCCTCGCTTGTCGCTGGCGGCGCTGCTGGTGGCGCTGCTCACGCTCGTCAACCTGCTGGGGATGCTGCTGCAGAGCCTCTTTTACTTCTCCGTCAAGTCGTTCCACCACGAGAGCATTGACCGGATGGTGTTGTCGGATCACCTGGACGCTTACCTGGGGGAGTATGTGCCGCTCAAGGACCCCGACATCCAGATGGAGGTGATGGAGCCCTGAACCGAATTTGTGTTGTCTCTCGTGCTGTCACTCAATTGAATATACATACGTATAAAGACTTGATCCACTCGCGGATGACCTAGGGTTTGCCCAACTGGCTGTGTTGCGTTGCGCGCCATGGACGATGATTTCGAGAAGCAGCTGGAACAGGTGTGTGCTTCCCCTGCCCGGCCGCCGGCCGCCCACTCTCACTTGCTGCTGCTGCAGGTGAATCGCCTGCTGGCCAAGGAGCCACACAATGTCGAGTACCAGGAAATGGCCAAGCAACTGAGAGAGGTAAGCCGTTTGCCCTATAGCTTTGTGCGCCTGCGTGAGCGTGTGCGTGAGGTGTGGTAAACCCGCCTTGCTGGTGGCCTAAAGGAATCACCGGTATCTTGTTCAGGCACTACAGTTTTGGAGGAGAAGAAGGGAAGGAGATTGCTGAATTTATCTGTGGCACCAAACAAAAGGGGTATTGTTGGTCCGTTAACTTAGTACCAGGGTTTATAACCTCCTATCTCATCTGGACTGCGATTTCCCTCGCCTGCCAATTACTGTCGTAGTTACCGTCTTGTGTGTTGCCAGGTGATCCAATTGGCAAAACAAGTGGACGTGGACCTTGATGATGCAGAGGACCAGGATCAGCAGCAGCATCTTCAGCAACATGTTTTGTTTTCCCTTCTTCCTTTTCTCCTTTCGTGCACTCACTCTTATGGGCAGGAGGAGCAAGGAGAGCAGCAACACGAGGAGGACGAGGAGGACGAGGAGGAAGAGGCACATGAAACTATGGCCATTGGAACCAAGGTGCAGGCGGTATGGAGCGAAGACGGTGAATGGTATCGATGGCCTTTGTTTCTGTTTTTGAACCTCATGGACACTTCCTGTCAGGTACAACGGCACAATTCGCGCCGTCACACCAAATGGATACCTGGTGATGTACGACGGGTGGAACAATGAAGAGGAGGCAAGTGAACTTAGCGTTACGGGTTACACTTCACTCACGTTCTTTCATGCGTGCATGCTCAGGTAGATGCCGCCAACATTAGGCAAGTAAACCTTGACGACGACAAGCTTGTGGAGGCGGAAAGGGAAGCCGAGGCAACCAGGCAAGCCATAAAGCGAAAGATTGCATTGGCAGCCGACGTTGGAGTTGTTCCTAGAGATCTGCCGCAGAAGTTGAAGATAAAACCTGACGACCCTGAGGAAATTGTACGCCTCTGGTTCCTCGTCTGTTTCCCCGTACTAACACACCAGCGTGTGCCTCTTCCAGCGACAAGTCAAGAAGAAGAAGATTCATGCCTTCAAATCCAAGCTTCGGCTGGAGCAGATGGAAGTCGCCCAGAACAAGCGGCAGAATGCTTGGCAGCAGTTCCAGACAGCCAAAGGCAAATCAAAAAAGGTGAGCTTTGCATTGCTAGGAAGTGGACTGAAGCTACTTGCAGGTCGGCTTCTTTACAGGGCGCAAGAAGGAGAGTATATTCAAGTCTCCCGACGATCCCAGGGGGAAAGTGGGCGTTACGGGCAGCGGTAAGGGGATTACGGAGTTTCAAAAGCGTGAGAAACACCTACATCTCAAATTGGGTGTTGAAGGAGAGGTCGATGAGTGAAGCACGACTAGAAAATTTTCCGAAAGACTTCCTTCTCATGGTCGGCAAATTCTAGTTCCTTAGAGAGACGTGATGTAAGATCAAACTTAAAACTATGTGACTCACGCGCTCGACAACTTTCTTTTGCGCCTTTTCTTCTCTACAAACGATGTCAAGCGAGTGCAAGCAACCTGGAGGTGCTCCGGTGGCATGGACGCATAGCAGACGCGGAAGAATCCTGGCTCAGCATAGTGGCATGCTTCTCCTGTTGTTTTTGTGAAAATATTTGAGAGGGAAAACTGTGCATATTAGGCTTACCTGGAGTCAAGAGCACCTTACAGTCCTCGAGAATCTCCTTCCATAATGCTCGCTCGGCTTCAAACGTGCACTGGCTCAAGTGACCAAGTCAGGAACAAAAAAGAAGCTGCTGTGAAGCCTTACCTCGGTTAACAGACTTCGTAGGTCCAGCCAACAAAACATTGCTGCGCATGCAGGCATGTAGTTTAGCTTGACAGAAGTGAACGCACTTGTGAGAAGATTGTAGGAATTCTTCAAACGCCTGCAGACAAGTTGCTTGAGCTTTGGCAACTACAAGGAAGAACTTACCTCTTGTTCTCCTCCACGTAAAAGTCAACAAAGGTATCGTCTTGGAGCATGACTGCCAGAGCATGCTGTGTGTCGTTGGACACGGCTGCAAACATTCCCATGTTTTGCCATAGCTGCAAAAGAGAAGCGAGACGCTCGTTACAGACGGGGATTATCTTTTATATAGTAAGGTTACTCACATTCAAGAGGTCTCCGTTTTTCGTGTGAAGGCACCCCACCCGGAACCCGTTCATCCCGAAATCTTTGCTCATGCCATATGCTGTATGGACAAACTCGGCAACCATCTCGGGTGACAGAAGCTTTTCCTCCACGGCGTTTTGCGCCACCTTCTCCAAGCTCACAAACTCGTCCTCTGATGTGCTTTAGAAGAGCAAACAACAAGGTGAGCCAAAGTAAACGAAACACATACCCAAACTTGGAATTGGCGTAGATTTCATCCGAAAGGACATGCATTTCCCTTCGAACGGCCCATAGCAAAAGCTCCTGCCACCGGTGTCACACTTGAAATGTCATGGCAGAACAGCAAGTGTACCTTGAGTGTAGCTTCGGGATACAGTGTCCCCAGCGGGTTGCCAGGATTGGTGATGAGCAAAACTCTGGCGCGGACGTTTCTCTTTGCAGCCTCGTCAACAGCTGCATCCATCTCAGCAACGGTAGGAATGTACGTATGTGTGTCTTTAGGTTGCACCGGCAGCGGCGCTACCTCGTTCTGCATCGCAACGCAAGCATGAAAACGGTCCCAGACAGCGCTTGTAAAGTTACTCGAATGTTCATGTCATTGTCAAACGCTGGGAAATAAGGGGCAGGAATCAAACAGCCATCTCCTGGGTCGCAGGTTGCAAAGAAGAAAAGATCGAGCACACTGTTAAAAGGCACAGCGGTGTGTGAGGGTGTTAGCCAGGCTCTTTGACAAGCTTACGCTGTGACACCACTTGAGATGCAAATGTGCGAGGGGTCGATCTGCAAGCAACGGAGGAGAGCGTGTTAGAGATTGTTGGACGACGACACAGGCCACCACCTCAACACCCATGAACGTCCTTTGCATCATCTTGGCGAGCGCATTTCTCAGTGCTTGTCCACCTCTAAAGTTGCTGTACAGCCCAGCTGTGGGTGGGATCTCCCTGCAGCTCCTGGGTGGGAATAAAACGAGGAATACAAGTGTAAGACTGGATTGAAAAGAAGTGCGCCAACCTGATCTTGTCGTGGATTAAGTCGAAGGAGAGAACACTTTCTGCCGTTGCCATCTGCAAGCAGTGAGTGGAGCGGAGTAAGGCGAGGTGCCGGCCAGCGAGCGAGATGCCTACATACAGACCAGGAAGTAGCCATGGGGATTGGTAGGAGACCAGGCGAAGCTCTTGGCCTCGTTCATTGCTTGGATGTAGGGCGAGAAGGGGAGGAGTGCCTTGGTGCCCCTGGCGGACAGGCTCCTCGGCTGCCGACCCCCGCCTGTGCAACATGACGCCCCGCAGCTGCAGGAGCATCGGTGCTGCTCCATTGTCCCCCTTTGCTGCACTGCGCAAACTTGCGGTACCTAGGTCATACAAGGTAGATGGGCGGGCATGGCGGCCTCAATATCCTGCCCCAGAAGCGCTGGAACGTCTACAACTGGGACAACAGGGAGCGAGTGCGAAGGGACGAGCAGGAGGCGGAGCGGCAGCAGCAAGAGGAGCAGCAGCAGCAGCGGGATCGCGATGCCGAGTCGCGGCTGGACAAGCTTCGCACCAGCGCGCGCACCGGCCGCACCCAACCCTCTGCCCCTGACGACGAGACAGCCGCAGCCGCCGCCTCCGCGCCCGTACCCGCGCCCGCCCCCGCGGCGCCGCTCACCACCCACGACCAGCTCCTGGATCTCTTCGACGACGACAAGGGTGTGGCGCTGGTGCCCAGGACCAGGCACAAGGAACACAAGGAGAGGGAGCACAAGAGGGACAAGGAATTGGAGAGGGAGCGGAGGCGAGAGATCCGGCAGGCCAAGAAGAAGCAAGAGGAGCTTGGTGAGGCGGAGGAGAGGTACAGGCTGGGCGGCGCCCGCTCCACGGCGCAGCCTTGGTACATGCAGTCGAGGCCGGAGGAACACGATCACGCTGCTGCGACAGGTTGGTATTGTGCGGCAGTGTGTACATGAAAGAAATTAACTCCGTGCCTTGCAAGGTGGTGGTGGTGGTGGTGGTGCTGCTGCTGCTGCTGCTGCTGGTGACAAGAAGAGGAAGAAGAGCTTGGAGGAGCTGCGAGCTGAAAGGTTGCAGAGAGAGGAGAGGGAGCGAGCCAAGGCACGCAAGCTGCTGCCCTGCACCAGCAGCAGCAGCAGCAGCAGGAAGCACTACAACTCGAGCTTTGGGTTTGGCACGAGATAAAGCTAGGTTTTGCTTGTTTTAGGGCTCTTGTTACATCCGCAATGGAAGAGAGCGTTGCTCCGCTAGTCACCCTTGACACCTCCATGGGCTCTTTCACCCTGGAGCTCTACCACAAACACGCTCCCAAGACGTGTCGAAATTTCAGCGAGCTGGCCAGGCAGGGATACTACGACCAGGTCAAGTTCCACCGCGTCATCAAGGTAACTCTTATCGCTGCTCTCTCACCTCAGTTCATCCGAGCCGCCGCCAGGATTTCATGATCCAAGGAGGCGACCCCAGTGGCACCGGCAGAGGAGGAGAGTCAATTTACGGGTGTGTTTCGCCTTCTCTGTTGTCAATCAAGCATTCCCATTCCTTGGTTTTGTATGCAGCCGGCAGTTCGAGGACGAGCTAACCCGGGAGCTCAAGCACACTGGAGCGGGTGTTTTATCCATGGCCAACTCCGGCCCAAACACCAACGGGAGCCAGTTCTTCATAACGCTCGCCCCCACGCCGTGGCTCGACGGTTGGTATCTATTCAGATTCCCGGCCTGACCTGCTCTCTCTCCTCTCGCTCACGCAGGCAAGCACACCATATTCGGGAGAGTATGCAAAGGGATGGATGTTATCAAGCGACTGGGAAACGTGCACACTGACAAGAGCGACAGGTTTGCCTTGAGCTTGTCAAGTCTTGCGTTTTCTCATGCTCGTGCTTACAGGCCTGTTCACGACGTCAAGATTCTCAAGGCCACCGTCGTGGACTGAAGTGCTCACTCAGAATGCTGCCCAACCCGCGCCCTTGCTGCTGGTGCCGCCGCTGCTGCTCTTGTTGTTATTGCTAGCCAAGGAAGGCAATCCGGCCTGGAGCGCGAGCTCGTTTCCTTAGTTACCACCAGTTTAAAGTTTCAAGGCAAAGACACTTACTTGGAGCTGGGACAGATCTGCAAGCGGATCCGGGGGCAATGCAGGAGATTGATGGAGCTTTATTTTTGTGTCGTTTGCAGGAGATGGTGGTGGTGGAAGAGGCGAGCGAATGCGCCCGCCCCCCGGTGGGGGTGCCAGAGGCGCCGCCATCCGCCCCGTGCTGGCCATGGAGGAGGACGTTGCATTCTTGATGCCGCCGCTTTGAGCTGTGCGCGTCTTGACATTGATCTTGATCGTTTCTCCCTCCTGAAACAAGAGGATGCGTCAGTTGTGCATGGGTGAGGTACGAGGGAGGCACCTTGAGACGGAGGTCGAGGCTGGTATCGGAGGGGGAATGCTGGGAATGCTGCTCTCCTCCTCCTCGCCTTGCAGCATGCTTGTCGAAGTCGGAGAGAGCAACATTGAAGTCAAAGGCGTCGCTCCTCTCGCTGAAGCCCAGGCCCAGAAACGCGTGCCTGCCCCTGCCGTCGTCCACTTTCAGCACAAAGTAGCGCGACGAGTCCAGCACGCTCTCCACCGTCGCGTCTCTCTTACCGGCCTCCACGGGGCATGCGGCGAAGAGCTCCCCGGTGTTGGAATCCTCGAGGCGCACCTCGCATTTGCCCCCAGTGGACACGAGGCGCAGCCTGCCCGACCAGATCTTGTCCGATTGGAGCCACTCGCCGCACTTGTAGCCGGCGCTGGTGGTCCGCGGCGGGATCTTGTACACGGACACCTCGCGCACCACCAAGAGCGTCGTCGCCTCCGGATCTACATCCTCCTCCTCGCCCTCCACCATAGCTCCACCCTAGGGCAACGTGGCGGTCCCGGGATAGGGCTAGCTTAGCTAGGGTTGTGGGTGCGATGAAGGAAATGGTGGATTTGCCGCCCCGGCTGCTGGGCGACACCACCAAGTGCGTAGACGGCGAGCTCCCGGTGATCATGCCCACTGTGCTGCTGCCCCCGGCTCCCAAATTCAAATGGGGGGACTTCGAGGAGGAGGAGGAGGAGGAGGAGGCGGCGGCGGCGGTGGAGGAGGAGGCACCGTCACTCCCTGCTGGCGGCGACAAGGATGAATCCACTACCAGGGCAGCGGAGGAGGAGGAAGAAGCTGTTGCTACATCAGTTGCGGAGGAGGATCAGCGTGTTTCGTCACCCAATGCGCACAATGTTGGTGAAGCTCCTGTGGACATGGACAACAGCGTCGCCATGGAAACATTCAGGATTTGTGCCCGAGGAGCCCCCGCGGCCCCCGCCCCTGCCGAGTCGGGCGGAGAGAAGAAGGAAAGGTTTCGGCACCGCCTGTGGTGCTATCTGTTTGAGAACTTGAATCGCGCCATCGACGAGCTCTACTTCCTGTGCGAGCTGGAATGTGACATGGAGCAGATCCACGAGGCTCTCCTGGTTTTCAACGAAGCTGGCCTGGACTTCAGCGAGCTCAAGGCTAGAGTTGGAAACTTCGAAACGCTCAAGAAGAAGAAAGCCGGTTCTGGACAAGCCATGGACAGCAGTGATGCCACAAAGGTGGAGCAACGACCGCATGCTATCGCTTGGGAGGTACGCGCTTGATTGAGCCTCTTGTTGTCTGTCGGTTGCTCAGACGCACGGTTGCATTGCCTCAGGTGCGTAGAATGGCATCCTCTCCTCGTCGTGCCGACATCCTTTCCCTGTCGCTTGAGGCTTTCAAGAAAGTGCACAATGGAACAAGCAGCAAACAGCACGAGAGCCCGCATCACACAAGTCGCAGGAGTGCCGTTCGGTTTCTGTCCTTTGGGCAAGACACCATGCCCGTGGTGAACGATAATGCTGCTGCTACAGAGGAGCGGGAGGAGAAACAGGCACTAGCGCCGCATGGCAAGGGGCAGGAGCTGCACAAGGACGTCGACAAAGTGGCGGCGGCGGCAATCGACGTGAAGAAGCTGGACTATCCTCCATGCAAGGAGGACGTTAAGCCTTCTCAGGCCGGCGACCATGATGCAAGTCCAAGGCCTTTGCGCTGCGATGGAAAAGTCAGTTCGAACCCGGCGGCTTTGGAAGCATGGAAGGAGAAGAGAAACTGGGAGGATATCCTATCCTCCCCTCTGGGAAACGTACCCAAGGCATCTGCTTCTCCTGGAGGTGGTGGAAGGAAAAGTACCGAGCGTGGTCGCGTTCTGCATGACAAGCTCATGTCACCGGAACGCAAGAAGAAGTCCCCCATGGAGATGAAGAAAGAAGTTGACGAGAAGCAAGCACGGGCCACAAGAATCAGAAGAGAACTTGAAAATGAACGAGCTCTTCGTCTCCAGCGCACAACCGAGAAGCTCAATCGTGTCAGTGAATGGCAAGCTGTCCGAAGCACGAAGTTGAGAGAAGGAATGCATGCACGCCAACAGCGGGGAGAGTCGCGGCATGAGGCGCACCTCGCACAGATCGCAAGGAGGGCCAGTGACGAGAGCAGCAAAGTGAGTGAGGTGCGGTTCATCACGTCACTCAACGAGGAAAACAAAAAGTTGTCCCTCCAGCAAAAGCTTCAAGACTCAGAGGTAAGGCGGGCGGAGCGGCTCCAGAGCCTCAGAATCAAGCAGAAGGAAGATGTTGCCAGAGAAGAGGCTGCAATGGAGCGCAGGAAGCTTCTCGAGGCTGAAAGGCTGCAGCGTATTGCAGACACGCAGCGGAAAAAGGAAGAAGCCCAGGCTAGGAGGGAGGAGGAGCGCAAGGCTGCTAGTGCTGCCCGGGAGGCACGCGCCGTGGAACAAGTCCGGAAGAAGGAAGTAAGGGCCAAAGCGCAGGAAGAGGAGGTGGAGCTGCTGAGGCAAAAGTTGGCCGAGCGTCTGCGCGAGAGTGCTCTCCGTCGGAAAATATACCTGGAGCAGATCCGGGAGAGGGCTGTTATGGACACGCGGGAGCAGGGTTCACCACTGTCGAGGCGGCCTTCTAGCAGAGAGGGTGGACAGGCCGGCCGCGCTCCAGCCCCTCTAGCCAACGACGCTCCTCCTGAGGTTTGTGAGATGCGGCTTGTTGGACCGGTCAAGTTCTCTCCAAATGCGAATGCAGCATCGACTACCACGGCTAGTTCCGATGGCCATCACCTCAAGAAGCGGATAAAGAAAATACGACAGAGGCTGACCACCAGGAGATTTGACTTTGTTGAGACGCCCGCTCCCGGGGTGGAGAGCTCCAGCAGGTCTAAGCTAGGACGCTGGGTACAGGAGTTGCAAAGGCTCCAGCAAACAAGGAAAGCTGGGGCTTCGGCAACTGTCCAGATTGTTGCGGAAATCATCAAGGTATACCAATTCTTCACGTAACTCTTCATATAACCCCACTTACTCTAATTTTCTGTCCATAGCACCTCGATGGGAAAGAGGCTGAACTGCACGTTGCCCGCCACACGGGCCTTGTTGACTTCATTGCTACGGCACTTCCTGCCTCTCATACCTCAAAACCGGAGGCCTCACAGACTACAGTCGCCCTTCTCAAACTATTGGTGGTCTTGCTCACGCTTCCTGCAAACCGAAGCTATTTCTTGGCGCGAAACTTGCTGCCGCCTCTGGTACCCATTCTATCCACTGCGCTCGAGAATTACAGCAGTGTGGGCTGCTCGGCCAGCAGCAGCACGGGTGACAAGCTGGTTGTGGACGACAAGTTCAATGCGGTTGGGGAGGTCCTGGAAGACCTGCTCAAGTGCGTCACCCACGTCATGGGACATAGCTCTTCGGATGAGCGGCAGCTGCAAATGCAGGACGACCTGGTGGAGCTCATTGTAGCCTGTGACATCATTCATCGCCTCCGCAACTTGTTTGCACTCTTTGACAGGCCACAGGTTGAAGGGGCGCCCTTCCCACCACCCGTACTTCTCGGCCTCAAGCTACTCGACACACTGACGCGAGGAAAGACGCTGACGGCGGCACAGTCTCCGTCCAGTATGGCAGCTCAATTCTTCTACTTTCAAAAGTTGATGGGAATGAAGAGGCCGGCCGAAGTACAGGAGTTGCCGTTTGACGAGCTCGAGAGCAACCGCCATCCACCAGACTGCGCTTATAGCTGCAGCGAACCTGCCGAGGACCCGCTAGTCGAGGCTGACTGCACTTCCAAATTGGATGCAGGAACGAGCAACAGGGACGAACTGAGGAGACAATCGTACGCGAGTAAATCTGTCGGCTTTCTTCTCGTGGCCATTGCCGAGACTGGAATGGTCGGCCTTCCCTCACTGCTTACCGCCGTTCTGTTGCAGTCTAATCCAAGAGCTGCTTCCACTGACCAGGCAAGCAAATTTCCTTTCCACTGCTTTTTGTTTGACTGACTTTGTCTGGCTCTAGGCCTTGCCGTTGAACTTTGAAGAGGTTGCTACCAGTGTTCTCAGGGTTCTTAACAACACCGCATGCCTAGACCTCTCTCTAGTGCAGAACATGTTGGCAATGCCAGATTTGAAGATGGAATTTTTCCATCTGGTTAGCTTCTTGTTATCGTACTGCACTGGCAAGTGGAGAACTACGACGGATCAGGTTTTACAACTTGCCTCTTAAATTACCTAAATTACAACGTTCTTTGCAGGTGGCATCACTGCTACTCGAAACGCTTCTACTTCTTGGCTATTTTGCTCTCTTGCACACTGGGAACCAAGCAGTACTTAGGTGGGGTAAAAGCCCGACGATTCTGCACAAGGTCTGTTGTCTTACTTCGGCTTCCGAGCCTGTTTTTGACGTGCTTCGTTCTTTACAGATATGTGATTTGCCATTTGCGTTCTTTAGTGATGCCGAGCTCACACCGATTCTAGTCGGCACGCTTCTGGCCGCATGCTACGGGAGTGAGCGCAACAGGGATGTCATCCAGCAAGAACTGAGCATGGAGCTGGTGCTTTCCGTGTTGAGATCCTCTAGAGGACAAACTGAGAGCAGCAAGGCAGGCATTCAGAGTGCGGAAGCCATGCTAAATGCAGCTGCCGTCCAGCAGCAGGTGGTGAGACGCATGGATGTCATTACTGAGGAATGCGACGAGGAAATGCAACACAAAGAGCAGCAGCTACCAGGGGCTACTGCTAGTACTGAAGACCGAAGCCTCGACGAGTTCTCAGAGGTAACATCGGGTCGGCGGTCAGTAGTAGCAAGCAAGAATGGCATCAAGGCAAAGAAGGTACAAAGGCCTAGGTGTCAAGAGTGCAACCGGGATTCCCTTGTTTTTCTGTTAGAGAACCGGTTTCCATCTAGTTTGTGGGACAACGCAATTGATTTCTTCTCAATGAGATAGGTAGGACACCCTGGACAAAAAAGAAACAACCAGAAAAGAGTGTCTTCGTCCATGTCGTAGTGTGTGTGCCTCTCATTCCTCCATGTCTTCGTCATCGTCATCCAACGTCTCCTCTATTCTCATCTTCTTGACACGGGCGTCTGTGCTAGACGCCGTTGACGACGGAACACTTATCAACACGTCCTTGTCCGTGCCTCTTCCATTCTTGTCTACCCGGCACACTAACTCCGTTCCTCCGGGCCTTATGTCAATGTAGACTGTGGAATTCTCGTCGATTTCTCCATTGATGAGCATTCGTGAAAGCTGCGTCACCACCTTCTTCTCGAGCCATCTGCGAATAGGACGGGCGCCGTAAACCTGAAACAACGATACTCGAAGGATAAACAAGAGAGAATGAAAGAGTTCATACCGGATCGTAGGCCTCCGATAGGACGTGATCGAGAGCTGCGTCCGACACACCAAGGGCCACTCCTCTTTGAGCCAGGCGCATTGCCACCTCCTTCATCTGTATCCGGGCAACCTTGCGAAGCTGGTCGTGAGACAATGGATGAAATATGACGATGTCGTCCAGCCGATTAAGCAGCTCCGGCCTGAAGTGCCTTCTCACCTGGAGCAACAACAGTTGGTCAAAGAGGCTTGAACTGGTAATAGACCACTCACCTCCATCATCACTTTTTCCTTCGCCGCCTTCATGGTCGTCTGCCCAATCATTCCAGACAACAGATGCTCGGCTCCCAGGTTGGATGTCATGATGATTACGCACTCTGCAAAGTTTACCGTACGACCCTGGCCATCGGTAAGGCGACCGTCATCTAGAAGTTGCAATAGCGTGTTGAAAATTGAACTATGCGCTTTCTCGACTTCATCAAACAGAATCACACTGTATGGACGCCGCCTCACAGCTTCAGTTAGCTGGCCACCTTCTTCGTAGCCGACATACCTGGAAAGCATTCGTTTCGTTTAGTTTGGCACAACTAAGTAGAAAGCACACAACATACCCCGGCGGTGCACCGATCAGCCTTGCGACGGCATGCTGCTCCATGTACTCCGACATGTCTAGGCGGATGAGCTGGTTCTCGTCGTCAAACAACTGCTCGGCCAACGCCTTCGCCAGCTCAGTCTTTCCAACGCCAGTTGGTCCAAGAAACATGAAAGATCCGGTGGGCTGCCGTGGCCTACCCAGCCCCGCACGAGATCTGAGCACAGCCTCCGCGACGGCCTCAACCGCTTCATCTTGCCCAACCACCCTTTCATGGAGTCGCTTACCAAGCCCAACCAGCCTTTCCTTGTCGTCTTGACCCAACCTCTTCACAGGCACTCCTGTCCATCGGCTGACTACCTGCGGTAACGTATTGAGGACATGACAAACAAGAGAATCCGGCGTACCTCCGCGATTTGTTCGGGGCCTACTGCTTCGGTCAGCATGTTATTCTCCTCAGCTTCCTTCTCGATCCTCGCAATAGCAGCATCTATCTCTTGTAAGCCCCCGTAACGTATATCGGCTGCACGGGCCAAATCCATTCTTCTCTCCGCTTCTTGCAAACTGATTTGCAACTCCTCACGCTTTTTCTTCAGCCTACGCAGCTGGTCGACGCGCTCCTTCTCCTTCTGGTATCTCATCTTCAGAGGCTGCAACTTCTCCTTAAGATTGTCCAGCTCCTGATGGACCTGATGCAACACCATCAGTAAGAATCACCAGGACCCAGAGCCTACATACCTCCACAAGCCGATCTTTGCTGGCTTTATCCTTTTCCTTTTCAAGCGCGTGCATCTCAATTTCGAGCTGAATGCGTTGCCTCTCCAGTTTGTCAATCTCTTCCGGCTGGCTGTCCAGCTGCACGCGGACATTAGCACAAGCCTCATCCACGAGATCAATCGCCTTGTCGGGCAAGTGCCGTCCTGAGCCAAACATTGTGTTAGCAACGCTGGGCATTCCGGTGTGTTACGTACCCGCGATATAGCGACTAGAGAGCTGCGCCGCAACAACGAGTGCCCGGTCCATGATCCTAACTCCGTGATGCCCTTCGTACCTCTCCTTGAGGCCACGCAAAATACTGATTGTCTCGGGCACCGACGGCTCCTTGACCAAGACCTGCTGGAATCGCCGCTCGAAAGCTGCGTCCTTCTCCACGTACTTGCGGTACTCAGCGAGCGTAGTGGCACCAATGCAGCGGAGAGTTCCCCTGGCCAGCATGGGCTTGAAGAGGTTGGCAGCGTCCATGGAGCCTTCGGTACGACCTGCATGGTGTATGAGCAACATGTGCGACAAACAAGTGTCCATTGCACGCACCGGCTCCGAGGACAAGATGCACCTCATCGATAAAGAGGATGACTTTGCCCTGCGCGTCTTCCACCTCCTTGAGCACGGCTTTGAGCCGCTCCTCAAACTCACCCCGGTATTTGGCACCGGCAATGAGCGCACCCATGTCCAGCGCAATGACGCGCACGTCCGACAGGTTGCTGCCATCCATCCAAGTCAGTCAAAACAGAGACAAACATATACATCCACACGCACCTGGGGATGTCGCCCCGCACGATCCTCTGCGCCAGGCCTTCCACCACGGCAGTCTTGCCCACCCCGGGCTCCCCAATGAGCACGGGGTTGTTCTTGGTCCTCCGGGACAGGATGCGTACCACCCTCCTGATCTCCTCGTCCCTCCCAATGACGGGGTCCAGCTTGCCAGCCTCCTCAACCAGGTCCTTGCCATACTTTTTGAGCGCATCGAAGTTGCTGTCCCCGCCCGCGCTCTCCACCTTCTTGCCGGACCCCCTCAGCTTTTCCAGCTCCGACTTCACCTTGGACGGCGAGATGCCCGCCTCCGTCAGGCAGTCAGACAGCTGCGAGTCTTCCAGCAGCGCCAGAATGAGCCGATCCACCGCCAGGTACGTGTCGCCTTTGCTCTTCTGCGCCGAATGTGCCTTGCGCACAATCTTGCTCAATGCGCTGTTGACGGGCACCTCCTCCGGGGGCGGGTTCTGGCAGGGGATCTTGCTGAGGTAGCGGCGGAGCACCCTCTCCAGGGACGCCGCGGATTCGTCGCCCACCGCCTGCTTGAGCAGCCCCTCGGGATCGGTGAGCAGCACCAGCGCCAGGTGCAAGGGCGTGAACTGCGCATGCCCCATGGACTGCGCCATCTCCTGCCCGGCCGCCAGGGCCTCGCGCGTCTTGTGCGTGAAACGATCCGGATTCATCCTTTTCCCTTGTGCGATCACAATCGGAGCTGCCCAGTAGCCCTAGGTGAATATTTTGTAGGAGCTGGAGAGAGAGCTCTAGAGAGCGCCAGCCACGTGTCGCCCGAATATACCGGACAAATATTTTAGGGTTCTTGTGAGGGCAACCGACGAGCCAATGGATCTGCTCAAGCCCAAGAAGAACGACTTTATAATGTCGCTCGAGGAGCGCGGTGCCGAGTTTGATGCCGAAGAACAGCAGGCAAGCCATGGAAAATGCATGTAGAAAAACTTGATTCTCTTGGGCAGATAATGAAGGGCATGGAGCTGCTCTACTCGGACAAGTTGAACGAGGCCGAGGACTTTTTCGATGAACTGAGGCTGCACCACCCCCGCTTCAGCCTGCACCATGCCTGGGTGGCGGCCTACGTCGCCCTCATGTCATCGGACCAAGACGATGTGGAGCGCGCAATCACCCTCCTCTCGGAAACGGAAGCGCTGGCCAGCCAGCAAGCTCAAAAGTAAGGTGCCCAGCATGGAAAGAGGGACGGGCTGAGCGATACAATGTTTATTCAATTGCCAGGTTCAGCACCCACAGCAACATCAAGAAGGTGAACGAGGCGGTGTCGTCGCTCAAGTCGTGGGCGCTGGGAAAGATGGCCAAGAAAGGCATCGCGGTTGGGGCTGCCAAGGCAGCAGCTGAAGAACAAGAGACCAAAGCCGAGGGTGCGCTCGCGGAGATGGTCCACCTCCACCGGGCGAGACGAGCACGGCTGTGGGCGATCCAGATCCAGGGCGAGTGCTACCTTCTTACGTCGCTGCTGCAGGTCTGAACTGGATTGGGGATGGCTGGGAACAATGCGTGCTTGGCTCACTCGCAGATTGTTGGGGCTGGGGAGAGCTGGACAAGCATGGTCAAGCTTGGCTACAACCTCAAGAAGACAGCCAGCATCTACCAGCATTGCGAGAAGAAGCTCCGCAAGCTGACCAAAGAGTGGATAAAGATGGGGGGCAGCTTCAAGGTGCCCGAGAGCATGCACGGGTCCGACGAGGACAGTGATTCGGGCAGCGAAGACGACGACAACGACGATCGAGGCTCCTCGGTAAGGGGGTTACAACACCTATATCTACATAGGCTGTGTGAAAGCAAGCTCTCTATCTAGTACGTTGTTGATATATAGAAAGGAAAGAGCAGCAACCTGTCCAAGAGCCGCAGCCTGGCGGAGAGGCTGGCAGACCTGGACATGGGGGGCTCGGCCAGCAGCAGCTCTGGCGACAGGATCGACAACACCCGGCTGGACATAAAGCAGCTGGACGCTCTAAGGGATGACCAGCGGATGGTCCTGGACACGAGGAAAGGGATCCAAGAGGACTACGAGCTGTCATCCCTGCGGATAGGACTCGAGTTCGGGATTGGGGCCTTCAACCTCGTTGTCTCGCTCATTCCCGCTTCGTTTCAAAAGGCCACGGAGGTGATGGGCCTGCCGGGTGACAGGAACAAAGGCCTCAGGTTGTTGCAAAAGGCTGCCGCCACAAACCATCCCAGAGCGCCGATCTCCTTCGTCATGCTACTGCAATGTAAGCGTAAAAGCAGATGGACCATGGCTTTACACTCGTGAGCTTGTGTTGGCAGACCACACGGTTATCATGGGCCTCTTGCCATATGGAGACCAGCATGGAAAGGAGGCCAAGCAGCTGCTGGACAAGGTGCAGGCCCAGTGGAAGAACGGGTCCATCTTCAGGATAATGCTGTCCCGCTACGAGCGATATGAGGGAATGCTTTCCAAGTCACTCGACACCCTCGTCCGAAACTCCAAGACGGATCCCTACGACATAAGCAACCGTGGCTGCAACCAGAGGCTGAGGAACTTTATGATAGACGAGCTGGGTTGGTGCTACCTTCTGCAAGGGGAATTCGACAAGGCCGCGGAGCAATTTGGCAAACTGTTCAAGGTAACACGCTCATGAACTGAACGTATCGACTATCAAGTCTCTGGCAGGACACCGTGTGGTTTAAGCCATTCTACGCCTGCCTGCAGGCGGCCTGCCTGTGGGAGGCCGGCGACAAGCAGCACGAGGCCGCAAGCAGCGTCCTCCGTGAGCTCCCGCAGCTTGTGGCGGGCAAGAAGCAGACGGGGCCGCTCGAGCAGTACGGCCTCCGGATGGCTAACGAGTTTGTGGCCAGCAGCCAGGTACGTCCCCAGGGAGGGCTTGCAATCCTGATAAGAGTGTTGCTGGTTTTGGTTGGCGCCTAGGCTCCCCTCTTCCCAGCACTGGAGCTGGCAGCCGTGTACAATGGGTTCCAACACATGGACAAACCATCGCTTGAGCGGCACATGGACGCCATTGAAGACGTTCAGAAGAAGCCACAGGTACCAGTTGGTGGCTGGAAGGGAACTCACGTATGCCTGATTGCGTTTGCTGTCTAGTAGCAGAGTGGGGAGGGGACGTCCAAGGCTGGCGGCCATGGCACGTTCGAAATCCGGTGGAACAATACAAGCAAGCTGCTGTGCAGGTATGTAATGCTTGGAACGAAACAGCCTCTGTTACCTGTGGTTACCTTGCTCTTGTTAAAGGTTCTTGCTGGGCCACTGCCACAAGGCCCTGGGGGACAAGCACAAAGCGCAGGACTGCTTCCGCCACGTAGTGAAGAACTCTGAAAACGTTCCCGGGTAAGCAGGGGGCTTGTTCGTTTCCCGCCTGCTCACCCGCCCCCACGCTGTGCGTGCGCAGCAACTTTGTTCCCTACAGCTGCTACGAGCTGGCTGCCCTGCTGCTGCAAGACGACATCAACTCCCAGGAGGGGCTGAGCCTGCTGGACAAGGCGGTGGCGTTTCCCCCTCATGAGTTCCAGCCCAGGCTCAAGTTCGTGGTGAGCGAGATGACCAAAATCTACCGGCCTCTTAACAAATGAGATGTGTATCCCCGAGTGTGATATAAAGGCCATGCGCCACGTGGCCGCTGGTGGTGCCCTAGCCAGGAGGGTTCATACATTCTCGTGGTTTTGAGATCCTATGGGGCACACGCCACCCCAGCTGTCTGGAAATGGTGATGCCGGCATGATCCAGGGCCACGGCGTGCCATTGCCACTCTAGGAGCGGTGCCTACCATGGTCTACAAGGAACAGCAGCACGACAGGAGTGGGGTATGTGAGGTCATCAAAGGAAAGGTCTACTTCGCGGCGCTGCAGAGGCCCGACGACCTCAAAGGCTCGTGGCTCCCTCGCCCCGCACTGTGTTTCAGCGTCGACAATGAACTGGTGTGGCCTCTCAACTTGTCCAGCGAGTGAGCAGCGAGCTCACTCCCCGCTGTTGCCTACCCTGCAGATTTATGAGCCGTTCTTCCAGGACTTTGGGCCCCTCAACATGGCATGCACCTACAGGTTCTGCTGGAAGCTTCACGGCTTGCTTCAGGTCACCTCGACGCAAACCACGCCCATCTGGAATGACTTACAGCTTGCTTGTGCTCTCAGGATGCTGGGGCACACGGGAGGTGTGTATGCTTCTGCACCAGCATTGAAACCAAGACCAAGTCCAATGCCGCAGTTTTGGTTCGTTCCGGTGCCCACCTCATTTTGCAACCGGGCGGCTCAAGCAACCAGTTTGTGTGCAGCTTGGAGCGTATCTCGTGCTGTTTGAGTCGTGGGAGCCCGATGCGGCGTATTCGCCCCTGGCACTCTTTGAACCGTACTTCCCGTTTCGAGACCCCACATGTGGCATATCCACATACCACCTCACAGTTCTCGACTGCATTCAGGTATGCAAGCTTTTGCTTATGCTAGTTACGTCCGTAAGCCATCTTTGTGGGTGAATGGGGATCCTTCAGGCAGTTGCAAAAGGCAAAAAAATTGGGTGGATTGACTTCAGCACTTTCAACCTGGAAGAGTACGAGTATTTCGAACAAGTGCGTGCCCCTGCTTCTGGCTACCAACATTTTTAACACCCTGAGGGGATCCTGCGTGTCAGGTGGAGAATGGCGACCTCAACTGGATTGTCCCTAACAAACTGGTTGCCTTTAGTGGCCCTGCACCAAGGCGTTCCCAGGTTTACCCATCGCTTTTGTTTCCAGAATGTTGTCAAGTTGTACGTTGGCAGATGTATGGGTATCGAAGCCTTGTGCCCGAGGACTACATTGAGTACTTCAAGAGGGTACGCTGAGCCGGCAATAGCCCTCTCGTCCCTCACCTCGCATTTGTCTCACTGCTGACTGCCGCAGGTGGGCGTTGTTGCTGTTGTTAGACTAAACAAGCGGCTGTATGACAGGCGACGCTTCACAGACCACGGCATTAATCACTACGACCTCTACTTCCCGGATGGCAGGTTGGCTGGATTGTGTCGAGCGTCTTTTCTTGTGACGTGTCTAAAGTTGTTGCTCCTGCCTGTGTTCAAAGTGGGCTTCTTCAGCTGTCCTCCTGAGCGGATTGTCCAAAGATTTATGGAGATTGTAGAGGAAACTGCCGGGGCCATAGCTGTCCACTGCAAGGTATGTTGACTGCCCCGCCCTTTCGATGCTCCGAGCCTACAGGCGTTTAATGGTTTTCTTGCTCGGCTGGCTGGATTCATCCAGGCAGGGCTGGGTAGAACTGGAGTCCTGATTGGGTGCTACATAATGAAGCACTTTAGATTCACGTGCAATGAGGTAGGCGCCTTCCAAAGGCTTTGGTGGCTGCCCCGCACCACTGTTCATTGTTCTGCAGGTGTTGGGCTACTTGCGATTAACGAGGCCAGGGAGTGTCATTGGGCCTCAGCAACATTTTCTCAGAGACATGCAAGCTCGCATGTGGAAGGCTGTGAGTTGAAGTTTACATGTGGCCACGCGAGTCACTCTCTTGGTCTCCTTGTCCTTCAGGGTGATGGATTACGACGTCACAGATCTGATGGGAGCAGCAGGAGCAAGACTAGCAGCGGGAGCTCTCCTCTTGTGACCCTCTGGAACAATGCCTCGGCATGGAGCCAAGGGAAAGGAAGCCTGTTTCCCACCAAAACATCGCCAACCAGTCCCGCGCTGAAGAGAGTAACGACCGAGAGCATTGTAAGCTCACGGCAGCTACCCGAGCGACTGAGAATTGTGTGTGCTCTTCTTGTAGGAAACGACTAGCTCGGGTGGGCGGCAACTGGTATGGGAACAGTCCAAGCACAGGGCGTCGACCGAGTCAACCAAGAGTAGCCGGAGGAGCAGCCACCAGCACGAGGTATATAGAGCACCGTCCACCCGACTCCAGGATGTATCCACTGGATCATACCGGTCGCCAAACAAGGCCAGGACAGGGAATAGCGGAGGCATTGAAACTGCAATCGGGGGCCTCTCAATGGCAGACCCTCTGAGTCAAATGAGGAAGGCTTGCGTCAACGAGGATAGTGACAACGCGTGCGAGTCCGCGTCCACGGCCAGCAACGAGCCTCCCGTCATGATAGGCCTCGCTGACAGCGTGGGAGGCATACTCAGGAACGCGGCAAACTTCTCGGCGCGCAGCCAAACAGCTGCAGACCCGGTTTGCACACACCGCACCCTCAATGCTGCAGGCCAGCCCAGAAAGGTGGTGGTTCCGCTGGGACAACAGAGCAGCAGCACCAAGTCACGGGAATCGTCACCGCTGCGAAGGAAATCGCCACTGCGGCAGAGCAAGAGCGCATATGACCATCTGTCATACGGCTAGCGGCTAGCAGCTCCGAATGTAACACGCAAACAGAAGTGTGAATAAAAGCGTTCCCACGTCACACATGTACACGTCGGTCAAGAGACACCGGCCGCGCAGGCGCACCAAAATGCCAAGTTGGTGAGGAGCTGCGAGGGAGTGTGTGTCTCAGCGATTTGTCCATTCTGGAGTCAGCAGACGCCAGCAAGGGTCGCTGGAGGCCGCGAGAGGTAGCGGAGAGAGAAGAGAAGCAGCGTAGGGACGTGCCTCCAAGGCCCGAGTGGACGGACCCCCAGAGCATACCCGTCAATCGCATCAAACGCAGGCAGCACAGCACAAAAGCCAAGGCCGCCGCCACTGCATTCGAAAGGGCCTGCAACTTCGTGCTGGACTGCACAATCGACTACAGGGAATCCATCTTCGTGGACCCCACCGAACTCCAAAAGGTTCGTGCCTATACACCGAAGACACTTCATTGCGTCCTGTGCTACAGACCGCTCGGCAAGGAAGAGAGCCACAGTACTCAATGGCGAGCACTTCTGTTGACGTCAAGGAGCTCCCTGCTTCCTACATATTTGTGGCTGATGTTCCCGGGATCAAAAACAGCGAGGTCAAGGTTGGGTTGGCATACACTGCACTCTATTTTTGTGACTGAATCACATCTTGGCCTCTAGGTACAAATCGAGAACGACAGCATCCTTAAAATCAGCGGTGAGAGGAGGCGCGACGACAACCCAACCTTCGATGTCAAATATGTAAGAGCGGAGCGCCCAGCAGGGAAGTTCATGAGAAAATTCAATCTTCCATCAAATGCCAACCTCGAAGGGGTGTCCGCCGCCTGCCAGGACGGGCAGCTGACCGTAGTGGTGCCCAAGATCCCACCGCCCGCCCCTTACAAACCCAGGACTTTCGACATTCCCATCGGGACGCTAGTCTACACGAATCCCAAGTAGCTCTAGACAAATCGACAAATGCTCCCGCCTATAGCTAAAGGCTGACATACAGCAGTCCATTGTAATCAGTAGAACTGGAACTGTATTTGCAAATGAATGTATTGGCGCATAGACGCCCAAAATGCTGATTCCTCTGACACCACCAACCTTGTAAGTTTGGGCAAGGGTACAGTACTTGATGCACAGCTTCTCCGCCTCCCGTAAGCTCTTTTTGTTGGCAAGCGTCTTGAGCCTGCTGGCCCTCAGAAGCGTCACGAGCCTCTCACACCTGGAAGTTGGATCTGACGCGATCAACGAGGGGGCAGGCGGACAGCATGAGATTGACATCCAGGGACGACAGGCTCAGGCTCTTCAATGTCAGCGACTGCAGCAACGGGAACCTGTGGATGCCGAGGTCGGTATGGTTATATGGCCCAGAGCAAGAGCCTCGGGCCTGTCCCGCCCATGTTGACGCTCGGATCTGCGTAGATCATGAAAGTTAAGCTCTGCAGCGTCTCCTTGGTGAAGATTAGCCACGCGATAACCGGGGCCGCCGAGAACTCATGGTCGCCTCCAATGCACAGGGAGAGATGGCTGAGACAGGACGTCTGCAGGACCGTCTGAGTGATAAGAATCAATATGTTGGTGCTGAGTGCCCCGTTGAAAAATGCATCCCAGTCCATACTTGAGAAGCGAAGCTTGTGGAGGTGGCACTGGGCTGCGTTGCCATTTCTTGCACACGGTCGACGCTACAACAACATCTCTAGCTGCCACTACGTTGGACAAAACGTTCCCTATGACCTCCACCTGTTTCCATCTTTTAAGCTTCGAACATAGGGCAAATCTGCTTGCCACGCGGCAGAGGCACACGTGGACTTTTCCGGTTAAAAAGGAACAAAACTACTTTACTCTCCGCGCGCGCAACAGAAAGTTTCAGGACAGACAAGACGAAAGAAAAAAAGCGGTGGATGCCATGGGCCAATCCGAGGACACCGTCGTTGAGAGCGGGTCACACACAGAGTATTCGCCTCCTCACCCCAGCATCCACAATGCACTGGCTCTACTCCAGCAGCAACAGCAGGCAAGCCCGGCCTGCTCACTGACCAGCGCTTGCTCCTCGCTGAGCAAGGCAGTCAACCACAAAGCGGAAGCAATCGCGGAGGCCTACCGGACTCGAGTCGAAGCCGAAGCACAAGCTTATCTCGAAGCAGCCACACGCAAGGCGGAGGCTAAGTCACAGCGGCTTCAGGTGCATGCTCTGTTCTGCCAGTCCCAGGGGAGTTGCCCTGGAACTAGCTTTTTTACGCACTGTGTTCTCAGGCTGAAGCGGAGCGGTCTCGAATGCACGACGAATCCAAGGCTATTGATTTGCGAAAGCGCGAAGAGCAAAGAGCAGAGCAACTGATCCATAATGCTGAAGTGGGTCAAAGCTTCGTTATAACACATTTTCCTTAAAGTGGTGCCAGGTCAAGGCTGATAGGCTGCTGGCCAGAGCCCGTGAAGAAGCTCATAAGATAAAGGCTCTTGCCACTGAGGAGTCTGAGAAAGTTCTTGCAGATGCGCTGACGCGAACAGAGAGAGTAAGAATGTTTCCCTTCCATTCTGTCCGGGACCCGTGCTTTGTGTACATGCACCAGCTGAAAGCAGAGATTGAAGCGGCTAAGAAGAAGGAGATTGCTGAAATAATCGATCACGTGCAACAAATGCTTGTAATTGGAGAGATTCCACGAAGTGAGCACAAGAGCGTAATGAGGAGGGTGAAAGAAAGTTTTTCTTGCTACATTTAGAAAGAGGAACAAAATTACGTCGTTCCCGTAGCCTATGCCAAAAACTTGATTTTATTGTGATTTTATTCGTTTGAAGCAATTAAGCCTGTTCAGGTAGCATTAGAAATCCACCGTAATGATCAGTATTTGTAATTCTTCACGTAAAGGCTCTCTGATGCACTTGCACCACCTGCCCCTCCAACATACCTCCCGAGTGTGGCATCAGAGTTGGCCTTGCAACGCCCGAGAAGTACTTTCTGCGCATTTGGAATGTTCTCCTTCTTTCCGGACCAGGCCTTCAGAGTGCTCTGCTGCAATGCTCGTCCATACGAGAAACTAAGCGTCCACGGCTTCATGGTGTTGAACTTGTTCATGGCGTTGAGGTTGAGCGTTGCCTCCTCCTCGCTCTGACCACCAGACAGGAACATGATTCCTGGCACAGCAACAGGAACCGTCCTTTGAAGTGCAAGAATGGTGTAGCGCGCAATATCTTCATTGCTCGACTTTGGTCCGTCCGAGCCACCAGTAACCATGTTTGGCTTGAGCAGCGTTCCCTCGAGAAGGACATGGTTGTTAATGAGGTGCTTGTAGCAGGCAATGAGGACTCTCTCGGTTACTTCCGCACACTTTTTTATGTCGTGTGAACCGTCAGATAGAATCTCGGGCTCAACTATGGGTACCAGTCCGTTCTCTTGACAGATGATGGAGTACCTTGCTAAACCATGTGCGTTTTCATCTATTGCCAGGTCAGTTGGTTCCTTCTCACCGATTTTCAGGACTGCTCTCCATTTGGCAAAGCGGGCACCGGCCTTGTAGTATGCTGCACATCTTTCTCCAAGTCCATCTAAACCCGTCGTAGCGGTTTCACCTTCGGTACCAGGGAGTTCAACAATTCCTTTGTCGACTTTGATTCCCGGGAGAACGCCACCTTCTTTCATTAGTTCAACAAACGGCTTCCCGGAGTTGGTCTTTTGGTACAGGGCTTCTTCGTACAGGATCACGCCGCTCAGGTATTTCATCACGCCTGGTGCCGTAAAGAGAAGCTCTCTGTAATCCTTTCTGGTCTGCTCTACATTTTCCACATTTATGTTCTGGAAACGCTTTCCAATTGTCGAGGTACTTTCATCTGCTGCAAGAATTCCTTTCCCAGGGCTGGCAATGTACCTCGCGTTGATGATAAGCTCGTCTGCAGGGCAGGAAAAAAGTCAATGCAAAACAGCCGCAGGTGGAATGAAAAGACATTACCAGCATATTTTCCCATATAGGCCGACATCTTGACTTCTCTCTCATGCACGCGAGACCTGGGTATGAATTTAAAACGCTAGACCAACAGACACAACAGAGCGGTTATTAGGTTTCAGCATTCTTTTTAATGACTAGACGTGCTCACGTGGCAAGGCGGTCCACGTGTGAATGGATTTCTACCGCGGGTGTACATTGGCTGTTGTCGGCACCTGTGAAAACTATCACCTTTCGTTCTGTCCTTCATTAAGGTAAAGGCTGACTGAGAGTTTTTAAAAGGTTAAATTCACCTTTTATAACACTTCTTTAATGAACTTGTTTTATTTGCAACTCAGTATCCTGATGGAAGCTGGTGCATGTACTTCTAGTACTTGTAGTCTTGCCTTGCTGCTAGTCTTGCAAGCCCTTGTGATCCAGGGCCGCTCACATGGGATTCATTAAACTATTTCAAAGATCTGCCTTCCGACGTTGCATAAATTATGAAGGAAAGTGCCATGGATATGTGCTCCACAGCTTTGTGATGGCGCGCAATAACACAATGACTCCTGAGGTCCCAAGAAAGATGCTGTAGAACTCGATCTGCTTTGCAGCAAGTGATTGAAATCCTTTGTTGTTCGTCTGTGAGCTGCAGTTGCGACATAGAGCACGAGATGAATGCAATCGCTGGAGTCCCATGGCTGAACAACACCAAATATCTGCTCCCTACGTGAGAAAGTGAATGGCTATGAAGGAGGAACCTTCCATCCGCTGCAAAATCTTCCTTGTGCTATAATCCAAGAGCATTTGAGTAAACCCACTTATGCGTTGGTTCTTTTGCTAGTGGATTGGAATAGTTTTCTCACCTAGAGTTATTTGTCACTCATGCATGTTTCATCGCGATTTTCTTATGTCATCCATCCATGGCAGGTTGAGTGAGTGATCAGCCTTGAAACTAGGAGGAATGAAGGAAAACAACAATGACAGCATCAATGAAAAAGAAAGGAAAGGAATATGGGGTGGGGGAGGGGCAGGGATGCTTGCTTAGAGACGGGAAGGAGACCTTAGATGGATGCTATGGTGACTCTTTAGCCGCAGCTCTACTTTGGCTGGCCTTCAGGAAACTCTGAGAGGGATGTTAACGAACGCCAAGGAACTGCAAACTC